AGAACTTTTCCAACAGAAGTCTAAAGTGTGAGGAAGCCGTATAATTATCAATATCAACTTAGGAGCTGGATGCTAAGGGACCACTAATTAAGGGGGGTTTACTTATTTGATAGCGTAGCTTGCGTTTAATAACCCTAATTTGGTCCTTCTTCTAGTACAGGGCTGTTTGACTTAGAAGAAATTGTATCTGAGGCAAGGCTTGAGAAAAAACAGTAACAAGTTTATTGGAATATAACAGGAGTAGAATAGATTCAATGTTACTTCACTCTAGAGGCACAAACTTAGCTGGTTACATTTATGGAAGTTCTTGAATGACTCTAGGCACTAAACATATTTCAAAAGGTTCCTTTAGGCAGATGTTTCTTTAACAACCGTTCTGGTAATACAAATAAGCCATGACTTATTCAACTGTATTGACTCCAAGCCAAATCTTGATTCTTAATCAAAGAATCAGTCCTCCCTGTGGTTCTATCACTACAGGATTCCTGTTGGATTTTCACTTCCACACAGGATCAACTACCTCTGTAGTTTACAACTACAGACCAATTCCTTGATCCTCTCACTGGAGAATCCTCTCCTGTAACTCTCTGGTTACAGACTGCTGATTCACAGATCACTCCTCTTCTATAACTCTCCAGCTACAGACTGACAACTCTCAAAAAGCTGCGCTGCCAAGTGGCAGTTGGCAGTTGGCTCCGTCCCCGTTGTAATGGCAACTCAGCTCAAGGCAAGCCAAGCCAGTTACCATCCCTAATAAAATACAATTCTACATACTTACCATTACTAACTATTGTCTAAACAATACATGACTATAGGAATAAAAATACACATCATCACAAAAAGGCTCTTTGATTTTAGGTGAACTATAAATCCCAGCAAATCCAACATTCCCAAATGACAAAATCAATCCCCTCCAAATTTGGGCGTATCGGGTATTTGTGCCAAATTTGGTCCAGTGAATGAAAATACATCCTGCATATCAGATATTTATATTATGATTCATAACAGTAGCAAAATTAAAGAAGTAGCAACGAAAATAACATGGTTGGGGGTCACCACAACGTGAGGACCTTTACTAAGGGGTTACGGCATTAGGAAAGTTGAGAACCACTGGCCTAGAGTATAGCAAACCAACTTGTGAGGTTGCATTTTGCAGGACAGAATCATAGAGTTTGAAGAGACCCAAAGAATCCCATTCTGCAAAAATACGTATTTAAGCACTCCCAATAGGTGGCCAGTCAGTCTTGTCTACAATCTTCTAGAGAAGGAGACTCCACCACATCCTGAAGAAGCCTGTGCTCCCTTTGCATAGCACAGAAAGTTCTTCCTAATATTTCAGTGGAATCTCTTTTTCTTCCATTTGAATCCATTGATCCATTGTTTCCTGGTCTCTGGAGCAGCAGAAAATGAGCTTTGGACCCTCTATATGACATCCTTTCAAATATTTCAACATGGCTGGATGGCATCTGGAAGGACATCTTATTTCATAAATGATGCTTGTTATTTGTGTTGATGAAGCCTTTCATAATAATAATAATAAATAATAAACTTTATTTATACCCCGCCACCATCTCCCCAATGGGGACTCAGAGTGGCTTACATGGGGCCAAGCCCGGACAACATAATACAACAAAATAAAACCAGAGCATAAACAATAAACAAAATCATCAAATTACATCAAGAAAAATAATAATACCATCATAAAATAACATTCCAATTAGCACAATCACAATAACAATGGGCGGGCCAAAGGTGCAGCAGAAGAGCCAGGTTTTAAGGTTCTTTTTGAAAGTTTCTAGAGAAGGGGCTTTCCTGATCTCTCCAGGTAATGAGTTCCAAAGTATCTTGTGCCCACAAGACGAGCCTGTGAGACTGGTAGGGGTGAAAGGAGGGCCTCTCCCGAAGATCTAAAGAGCACGTGACGAGCTTCCCAGGAATCTGTAGTTCTCTGAAACGCTGTGTAAAAACAGCTGCTTAATTTGATATTACCCACAGGCTAGATCTGTTTTTCCTTTCAAATTAATCCAAACTAAGCAGTATCCTTTTGAAAACTGAGACTTGTGAAAAGCTTTAGCATTGTCCCTTTATGTAAAAATATGGTAAGAGTCTATTTGGATGGGAGCAGCGAGGTATCTTGTCTAGTCAAGGTGCCTCTGGGAAGTTCTCAAGAAGGGCATGAAAGCATCTGCCTTCTCCAAATGTAGTTTCCCAGCCAGTGGCATTTCAGAGAAATATGTTGTCTTTTGAGATTATAGGTTTGCATAATGAACTGTAGCTCTTGATGATGATAATAATAAAAATCTTGAAATACACAAGCATGTGGACAATTTCAACAGAAAGGAGGAAACCATGAAAATGAACAAAATCTGGCTACCAGTATTAAAAAACTCTAAAATTACAACAGCACAACAACAGAGAGGAAACAAACAAGGACATCTAATCACCTCTCAACAAAAGTTTGCTCCAGGCACTGTCAGGCAATCAAATGCTAATCAAGGTGGTCAGTTGAAACATTCACACCTAGCTCCAGCAGACAAGAGTCCTTTGTCCCACCCTAGTCATTCCACAGATATATAAACCTTTTTTCCTAGTTCCAACAGACCTCACTACCTCTGAGGTCTGTTGGAACTACCTCTGAGGATGCTTGCCATAGATGCAGGCAAAACGTCAGGAGAGAATGCCTCTAGATCATGGTCATATAGCCCGAAAAACCCTATAACAACCCAATGATAATCTTTATTTCTACCCCGCCACCATCTCCCCAATGGGGACTCAGGGCGGCTTACATGAGGCCAAGCCCAAACAACAAATTACAACAGAGTGAAACCGAAAATGCAAACAATAAACAACAACACCATAATTACATAAAACTTGTGAATGTAAAACAATATAAAATTACAGTAAGCACAATCACAGTGTCAATGGGCGGGCTACATGTAATGATTAAAAGAAAAAATAATTAAAAACTCGGGTGAGATAAAGGAGAAGCAGGTTATTTGCGGAGGAGGGCTCATTATAGCGGAGGTTGTGGAATCAAGCTTTCCCACAAAGGGGGGAACGGGACATATACTCCAATGACGGAACGTTGAGGCTAAGCAATAGTGTGAGGTTGTATACCTACTCACCAAAGGCGCAGCGGAAGAGCCAGGTTTTAAGGTCCTTTTTAAAGGTTTCTAGGGTAGGGGCTTTTCTAATCTCTCCAGGTAATGAGTTCCGGAGTTGGGGGGGTGGGCATATACTCCAGTGATGGAACGTTGAGGCTAAGCAATAGTATGAGGTTGTATACCTACTCACCAAAGGCACAGCGGAAGAGCCAGGTTTTAAGGTCCTTTTTAAAGGTTTCTAGGGTAGGGGCTTTTCTAATCTCTCCAGGTAATTAGTTCCAGAGGTTTTTTGGGGGGGGGGGGGGGGCACAGAGGAAAAAGCTCCCTTATACTTACAAAGAGAGCTTGTGAGACTGGCAGGGGCAAAAGAAGGGCCTCCCCAGAAGATCAGAGGGCCCGAGTTGGTTCATGGAGAGAGATACGGTCACGAAGGTAGGCGGGTGATAACCTGCACCTTGAATTGGAACCGGAAAATAAACGGCAGTGTTTATTGTCTGGAAATGTTATACCTTTAGCTCCTTCCTACCATCTTGGAGAACTGTAATCAGAAGGTTAATATAGTAGAGTCTTGCTTATCTGACCTTCGCTTATCCGACATTCTGTCTTATCTGATGCTCTTATCCAACGCCCCCTTTACATCCAGCATTTCTTCTTCAGTTCAAGGAGCGCTCCCCAACTATCTCTCCATTCTCAATAAATGAAAAATGCAGAACTTACTGATTGAAAGGTTGGCGGTTCAAATCCACAGATGGGGTGAGCTTCTGTTGTTAGCCCCAGCTTCTGCCAACCTAGCAGTTCAAAAACATGCAAGTGTGAGTAGATCAATAGGTAACGGTGCTCCAAGCAGTCATTCTGACCGCATGACCTATTTATTATTTATTGACAGTATTTATATTCTGCCTTTTCACCCCGCAGGGGACTCAGGGCAGATTACAATGTACATATACATGGCAAACATTCAATGCCATAGACATACAACACATATAGACATACAACACAGACGAACACGCAGAGGTGATTTAACATTCCAGCTTTTTCATGAGTGGCCACCAGGGGAGCTGTTTCTTCACCGTCCATTTGTGACACTGATGTAGTACTTCCTCATTCTTTGCATGCTTGCTGGAGATTTTTATGGCATTGTAAATTAGCCTCCCCACATAAGCGGTACAGTTGCTACAGACAGTTGCTACTTGATAGCTGCAACTGTCTTTCAGGCTGCAAAGGTCGACAGCAAGCTACACAAATTGGTTCAAACTCATGACTTTTTGGTCAGTAGTGATCTTAATGTAGCTGACTCCCAGCCAGCTGCGCCACAGTCCCGGTAACCTAGGAGACATCTATGGACAACGCCGGCTCTTCTGCTTAGAACTGGAGATGAGCACCACCTTCCAGAGTCGAACACAACTAGACTTAATGTCAAGGGGAAACAATTGCCTTTTCCTTTACAGTAATGTGATGAAACACAGCAGTAGAGCCAGGTTCTGTCATTGCACAGCCTTGTCACTCTGCAAGTATTCCACAGCCCTGTGTGACACTGAGATTAATCCAGATTGCTTCTGGTCACCTACCCAGCATACCCATGTTATTTTGCACACCATTTATGTTCAGTATTAATATATGAAACCTCAGCTTATGATCTGTTATGAAATTGAGAGTCAGTGGCGTTATGTTCCGATTCCTGTGAGGTTCCCTTGTGATGGTCTCGTGCATGCTTGGCAAGACTGGTGTTTGGAAGGCTTGGTATCCTTGTTCTAAGAGCATGTTGCTTGCTTGACTGTGAAATCTGTATCTGCTGCTGTACACATTTCTGGGGTCTGAGAAGAGACCATGTGTCTGTCAACTCTGCTTCGAAGGCTACATTTCCTCCCCCCCCTTTCCCTGTCTTCTTTTTATCAGCTGGAGCTGAAGACACGTACTTAACACATTCAGGAAACCAAAGGGAAGCCAATAGCAAACCGTCACCCCAAAATATGGAAAAAGAATTAATCAGTGGCCAAAAACAGGACCGTGACTATGGGACCAGTGACGTTCTGGAGATGAAGAAAGCTATGGGATCACCTGGCCGAGATGTTGGAGCCAAAGTTGACAAATTCAGCCCTGATTCACCAGGCCATAATATTAAGGAAGATTCCTCTGTAGATGATAGAACAGATCTGAATGGATGTGACCAACTGAAAGAGATGGCTTCAAGTGTAGAGTCCAAATTTGCTTTGCTCACGAGCGTGAAAGATGAGCCTGAGCAACCTCCAACCAGAGTTACATATCCGCATTCTTCTCCATCCCCTGCGGCAGCCAGTGAGGCTGTGATGGACAAGGAATCCCCCGAATCTCCATTTGAGGTCATTGCTGACAAGCTGGAATTTGATAAGGAGTTCAAAGACAATTCCAGTGACATTGGAAGCAACTGGGTGATGCACAGCGAAAGGGAGCTGCTGACAGATATTCCAGAAGACAGTGTTTGCGAGTTTCAGGTGAAGCCACGGAGCGGGGGGAGACTACCCTCAGGACCTGGACTCTCGCGGCAGTCTTCAGGTACAACCGCAGCCCTCGAAGAGGTCTCCAAATGTGTCCGCGAGATGCATAGCTTCACAAGTGAGCTACTCAACTGGGATTTGATCCCCAAGGATCTTGATGAGAAGCCTGAGGATGTTGTCAACTCGGGTCTCTCTGTATCACCCACCAAAGAGGCCAGTAGTGTCGTTGCAGGATTGGAACGTGGTAATAAACAAGGGGGGAAAACGACCACAGCTCATCAACCGATCACCATTAGCCTGCATCAGCAAGGCAAGCCATCTCTGAAGGAGGAAGAGAAACGAGTTACCGGTCAAGAGGCAGTTGCTGGAAAAAGTATCCGCACTGGTACAGCAGAGCTGAAAACCAGTATCCCTTGGTCAAATTCTGTCCTGCCTGAAACAACTGATGCGGACAGTTCTGGCGAGTCTGACGATACCGTCATCGAGGATGCCCCACCGGATCCAGCTTTCCAGACTAAGACTACGGAGGGCAGAAATGCACCCTCAAATCCATTTAGCTCAGGCAAATTGGAGACTGTAAGTGATGAAGAGCCATGTGAACTCAGCCAAAAAGGGAAATTTTCTCCCAATTTGGGATTTGCCGATGACTTGAAATCAACCCAGGCCAAGACGGCTGCTCTTGGGGGAAGTCCAGTCGCTGCTCCACAGCATCCCATGCAGTCGAATCCCCACCTTCCTCCCAAAGCAGGTCAAGAAGTGGATGCTTATGGCAAACAGTCCAAGACTGATGGATTCACTCTTTTCACAAGAGGAGCTTCTCCTTCCTTTCCCTTGGATGACATGAAAAAGGCCACAGGTCCAGGCATGGTCAAGGCCGAGGATTTCCTGCACTTCATGAAAGACAGTGACTCCCCTGATGACCCTGTGGAGACCTTCTCTGAAGCAGAGCTGAAAGCAGCGAGATCGGAAGTGGTCGCTCCATACTTCCAGCAGCCATCACAAGCCGGTCAAGACTTTGAGCAGGAACACCTTACGATCAAGGCCCTCAAAGAAGTAGGCCGGAAGCCTGAGACGGAGAGGCAGCCAAGGCAGCTGTCTCCATCCGGCGGGAGGAATCTTGGCCAGTATTTTGATATCCCACCAGAACCTCCAGTGCATTCTCAGAAGTCTGCCTTGGAGAAGAGACCCCTTTGTCTTGAGCAGGCGGTGGATGTGAAGTTGGCTCCAGCCCCGTCCAACCTTGGTATCCATAACGTTCCAAATAAATCTTCCCAGGCTGCTCCTCCCGTGCCTCCCATGCTACACACAATCATAGAACTACTGGCTAAATTCTCAGGTAAATATCCACACAAGTTGTTTATTTCGTATCAAAAGCATTGCATAAATTAGTATAAAACTGATAAAAATTGAAGGCACGCAGGAAGCTAAATATCTTTTGAGCAAAAACGGGCAACAGCATTGTCTGTAGCCTCCAGCAATTCCTCCTCTGTACATGAGGCAGGGCACAGTGGACAAGCATACAGATGCGGAGTTGTCTGTTCTGCTCCACAAGGTGTGGGATTCTTTTAGGTAGTGTAATTTTGCCAGGTTGTCTGTTGATCTGCCCACTCTGCTTCTGAGTCTATCCAGGGACTTCCAAGTTGCCAATTCTTGGTTTGCCCCTGGAGGAAGACCCTTGTGGGGGGCCATCCAGTTGGGATTTCCTGGTTTAGCTGCCCAGAGGGATACCCTTGCTGTTGTTGGGGGGACTCCAAGAGGAGTGGTAGTTCTCATAAATCTTTTCCTTGATTTGAGTCTACTGGGAGGAGGCTGGTAGCCACGTAGTGGGTGGCTTTCACAGTGTTCAACCTTATTTCTCTCAAATTTAGCAGCAACTGCCCGTCACACATCGGGGGGTGGGGGGGAGCAATGCCAGGTAGCTTGTAGAGTTTATCAACAGGTGTAGGTTTAAGACATCCTGTGATTATTCTGCATGATTCGTTCAATAAGAGTTTATCAACAGGTGTAGGTTTAAGACATCCTGTGATGATTCTGCATGATTCGTTCAATGAGAGTTTATCAACAGGTGTAGGTTTAAGACATCCTGTGATTATTCTTCATCTTTCATTCAATGAGAGTTTATCAACAGGTGTAGGTTTAAGACATCCTGTGATGATTCTGCATGTTTCGTTCAATGAGAGTTTATCAACAGGTGTAGGTTTAAGACATCCTGTGATGATTCTGCATGATTCGTTCAATGAGAGTTTATCAACAGGTGTAGGTTTAAGACATCCTGTGATTATTCTGCATGATTCGTTCAATGAGAGTTTATCAACAGGTGTAGGTTTAAGACATCCTGTGATTATTCTTCATATTTCGTTCAATAAGTTTACCAAGAGGTGTAGGTTTAAGACATCCTGTGATTATTCTGCATGTTTCATTCAATGAGAGTTTATCAACAGGTGTTAAGACATCCTGTGGTTATTCTGCATGATTCGTTCAACGAGAGTTTATCAACAGGTGTAGGTTTAAGACATCCTGTGATTATTCTGCATGTTTCGTTCAATGCTATGTTCACCTGTTTTACATTGTTTGTGGCCTTCCAAGTAATAACTTTTGGAAAGTTATGATCTTTGGAAAGATCTTGTTAGAAATCATAACCTTTTTGAAAAACGATGCCATAGCCTTTTGGGAAATGGAGATCTCCATAAAGTTTTGGAAAATGGCATTCACCACCATTTTGGGAAAATCTGGAATCTCCCTGAGAAGAGTTAAAAATTCGATTGAGTAAACCTACTCCTTATTAATAAATATGCACTAGTGTTCATGCAAGGTAATTAGGTTTCTCAGCTATTAGACTGATATACCTAGATATCTCTTTGAACTGTTAAGGACAAAGATTTCCCAATGCACAAAAAACATATACAATAGAGTCTTGTTTATTCAACATAAACGGGCTGGCAGAATGTTGGATAAGCGAAAATGTTGGATAATAAGGAAGGATTAAAGAAAATTACATTATGATTTTACAAATTAAGCACGAAAATGTCACGTTTTACAACAAATTGACAGAAAAAGCAGTTCCATGCACGGTAACGTTATCTAATTGGTTTACTCACAAAACTTCATGTATTCAGCAGACAGGTACAGTGTTCCCTCGCTACTTCACGGTTCGCTTTTAGCAGACTCGCTGTTTCGCAGATTTTTGAAAATATTAATAAAAATATTAAATATTTACGTCCGGTGGAGGCCAGGGACCCCAGAAGTACGGAGGCCTGATCTGTGGGTGGGGAAGGTCTTCTGGTGCCTGCGTGGCTCTAGAGACTCTGCGGAGACCAAGGAGGCAGGCAGGTGCCCTTGGGATAGGCCAGGAGGTGGATAAGGAAGCGCGGGTAAGAAAACAATATATAAAATATATAAAATAATGTATAAATATTAAAATTAATATGGCGTCCCTACTTCATGGATTTTCACTTATTGTGGGTAGTCCTGGAACGGAACCCTCGCGATAAGTGAGAGAACTCTGTACTTTGGTCATCAGTGCAGTTACAGATAAGATTTGAAGTAGTTGCTCAGTGCAGATCACACAGGGAATCTTTCTTAGAATCTTAACAGTCCATAGTCTAAAACATCTCTCTGTTGTGAGACTCTGTCTAGTCTGAAAGTCCAATGGAATCTGAGTCCTGAACAGTCCCAGTTCTGATCATATGGGTTGCAGCACCTCCCACAACATAGAGTTAAGGAAAACTGCATGCCAATACACACATACACAATGCAGTAAGCAATCTGAATGATATACAAATAAATATGTATGCGTATATGAATTCTTGTTCCAGTATTGAATATTTGCCCTATATATGCTGTGTTCCGCCCTGAGTCCCCTTCGGGGTGAGAAGGGTGGAATATAAACGTTATAAAAATTATCAAACTGGCCAATTGCAACATTCACACCGGCCTCAAGAAGACAAGAGTTCTTTCTCCCACCCTGGATATTATTCCACAGATATATATAAACCTCACTTTTCTAATTTCTAACATACCTCACAACCTCTGAGGATGCCTGCCATAGATGTGGGCGAAACGTCAGGAGAGAATGCTTCTGGAACATGGCCAGACAGCCCGGAAAACTCACAACAACCCGGCAATTAGAGATTTTAAATTAAGAGAATTTGAGGTAACTGGCACAATATTAGAATCTCTTCTTGTGACTGTATTTCAACATAGCAGGTTCAAATTGAGATATATGAGGGAGACGTGGAATGGAATAGTCAAGAATTTGGTAGACCTTTTTCTCAGCATTAGGAAAACTGTATGGAAGAAAAAAATCAGGAGGGTCCAAGCCAATGTGTTTAATTGTGGCTTAAATGGTGTATCACTGTTATAGAACTGGAATTTAGGGGTCTTTGCCAGGAGGCAGAGACCAATCAGACTCATCAAAGAGTTCGTTGACCTGGCAAGACAGAGAAGCACCCAATATTTTTCCCTGATTTTTCCCAATAAAAGGTCTCACCAAGTTGAAGGTAGCGCCACTGAGATGTTTATTAGCGATTCAGCTGAAAAGGATGCAATGCCACAATCATTCGCCAAGCAGAGCATGTGGTTACAGAAATAAAGGCCATTTTTATAGAAAATACAGAGTTGTGAGTTTCAAAATTCCCGCTCCCCCCTCCCGCCCAGCTCGAAGGAGATTGGCTGACGCACAAACATCTGGGAGGAGGCTTGGCAGTCCCCCAGGGCCAATCACAGGGCTTTCGCAGTGCGCCAGAGCCAATCAGGAGGCTCCTGCTGCCTCGACGCTCCAGTGAATCAGAAGGGAGGGAGGCGGGATGAAGGGAGACAGTGCATTCTGGAGTGGATTATGGAGTTTTAATGTCCTGGAGGCTTATCGAGTCCGGGGATCGGTCTGCCAGAGAAGCCACTTTATTGTCCTGAGATGGGTCTGTGATAAGCATTGTTGGCTTAATCTGAGTTTTCCTCTTACAATCAGATAGGACACAAAGGGGAAACGTATGTGAATGTCCTTAGTGGAAAGATTTGAAAGAAAAATGGCTTGGAGGAAAAGAGGACTTTCCTAAGCTCATATTCCCCCCATTGTTATATGATTAAAAACTATTGTCCATGCAAAGAATGTCCAAAGATAAGGGTCTTTTCATGATCGCTGATTGCTTTTCCAGAGGCAGGGCAGCTTCCTTGTAGATTTCCCCCATGGAGAGGGGAAGGGGGCAAAAGGGTCAGGGCAAGGGAAATACAGAAATACAGGAGAAAATATGAAAATATAGAAATCATAACATAGAAAGTAAGCCCAACTACCTCCCCCCAGTGTCCATAGTTCATATTATTCATAGGGAGGTCCATAAAGGGAAATATATCCATGAGGGGGAAAGAGAGTCCCTTGTTTGTGAGATGGGGGACCGTCAGGAGCCCAGGTGGGTCTCAGATGGAAAAATTCAAATACTTTTGTGGCATGATTTTCAGTAATAAATTGGTTACTTTCTGCTGTAAACATATGAAAATGGGGCATAAAGCCTTGATTAAATGATACACACCAAATGGACCAAGGCTTAACCCTTATTATCCAGCCTGGCGCCTTGCCCTTAGCAAAACTATATGTTACTATCTCTTATGGGGAGGTCATGTTCGACTTCATTACCACTCTATAAACATACCATGGGCTTCATAGAAAAGGGTCTGTCCTTCATTCTCAACCTGTTAGAGGTTAAATAGCTTGCCATCTGTCCGATAGATGATTTCCACTCCGGTGGGGAGCTTTCTGTCAACAACATGAAATATCATAGCAATGAAGATGGAGAATAAAGTTGGGGCAATAAGACATCCCTGTTTGACACCTGATTCCACCTTAAATGGCTCACTTTGGATTTCAGCAGGGATCCCATCAGGTCCGCTGGCTTTGTTATTTTTTTGTTGGCTGATGGCATTGCTGACTTCTTCCAAACTAGGCAGTATTGCAAGCTCTCAAGCACAGAGGCAGCCACTACCAAGACCTCCTTCTGAAGCAGCTGATAATGTGATCTAGACTTGTCACAGCCTTGGGGAGTGTGTTTTGTATTCATGCCGAATGGCCTGGAAGGCTGCTCTGCTTGTCTTTGTTTGACAGTCTTTTTATGGGCTGATACTAGAGGAAAACAACAGAGATTCTTGGCTTCCCTTTCTGTTTTGCGGATGGGCAGACATGCATGGCTTGGGCTTCCGGGTTTAGCTTTGTGGGATGCAGGCCTTTGTTTTGAAGCCAAACTGCCAGCGAAAGAGCCCGAGGGAAGGCAATTAATGAGAGGCAAAAGTATACTCTTCCCTCTCTCTCTGGGTCAAGGAGCAAGCAGCATGGAAAGGGGGCGGGGGGGGGGGGCATATAAACTTTTATCCTTGGCAAGGTTCCCACAACCCACCCTCCCTCGAGAGGGAGTGGTTCTCCCATGTCTGAACAGAGAGGGTGTTGTGTTGGGTTTTAAATGCGTCTTCTGTATTTCTTAATGATGGGAGGGGCCCTGTTGTTTGGTTTTGTGGCCACATGGTTTGCATGTGCAGCATCTCAGGCTCTGTCACAGAATCATAGAATCAAAGAGTTGGAAGAGACCTCCTGGGCCATCCAGTCCAACCCCCTGCCAAGAAGCAGGAATATTGCATTCAAATCACCCCTGACAGATGGCCATCCAGCTCCTGTTTAAAAGCTTCCAAAGAAGGAGCCTCCACCACACTCGGGCAGAGAGTTCCACTGCTGAACGGCTCTCACAGTCAGGAAGTTCTTCCTCATGTTCAGATGGAATCTCCTCTTGTAGTTTGAAGCCATTGTTCCGTCCTAGTCTCCAGAGCAGCAGAAAACAAGCTTGCTCCCTCCTCCCTATGACTTCCTCTCACATATTTATACATGGCTATCATGTCTCCTCTCAGCCTTCTCTTCTTCAGGCTAAACATGCCCAGCTCTTTAAGCAGCTCCTCATAGGGCTTGTTCTCCAGACCCTTGATCGTTTGAGTCGCCCTCCTCTGGACACATTCCAGCTTGTCAATATCTCTCTTGACTTGTGGTGCCCAGAATTGGACACAATATTCCAGGTGTGGTCTAACCAAAACAATAGAGCATGGGTAGCATGACTTCATCTAGACACTAGGCTCCTCTTGATGCAGGCCAAAATCCCATTGGCTTTTTTTGCTGCCACATCACATTGTTGGCTCATGTTTAACTTGTTGTCCACGAGGACTCCAAGATCTTTTTCACACGTACTACTCTCGAGCCAGGCCTCGTCCCCCATTCTGTATCTTTGCATTTTGTTTTTTCTGCCTAAGTGGAGTATCTTCCATTTGTCCCTGTTGAACTTCATTTTGTTAGTTTTGTCCATTCATCTCTCTAATCTGTCAAGATCGTTTTGAATCCTGTTCCTGTCCTCTGGACTATTGGTTCTCCCTCCCTGTCTGTCCCTGGGATCTTGAGCATTGTAGGAAAGCTCCTTGTCCAGTGTCTCCGTAGCCACCTGGCTTCTTAAGATCTCCAGTACAAAAGGATCTTGGAGCGTCACTGCTAGTTTAAGTGTGAGCTTCACTAGGATTAATTAAAGATTAATTAATTAATTAACTAACTAACTTACTTAGGCGATCCCTCGTTGTCCAAATAGGATTGTTTTCCAAGATGGGTAGGCCCGTAGGTAACTGTGGAGCCCTATTCTTGATCTGCATCTTCTCCCGCAGTGAGGGCATCAGTTTCCAGGTGGAAGGTGGTCTCAGACGGCGTTGGCTTGACGTTCCTTCCTCTTGGCATGTTTCTCTCTTTTGCCCTCCATTCGTGCCTCTTCAAATTCTACAGCACTGCTGGTCACAGCTGACCTCCAGCTGGAGCGCTCAAGGGCCAGGGCTTCCCAGTTCTCAGTGTCTATGCCAGAGTTTTTGAGCTTGGCTTTGAGCCCATCTTTCAATCTCTTTTCCTGCCCACTGACATTCCGTTTTCCGTTCTTGAGTTTGGAATAGAGCGACTTCTTTGGGAGACGGTGGTTGGGCATCCGGACAACATGGCCAGATATAGAATCAAAGAGTTGGAAGAGACCTCATGGGCCATCCAGTCCAACCCCCTGCCAAGAAGCAGGAATATTGCATTCAAATCACATGTTGATACATATTTATTTTATTATCTGTTTGTTGGCATTGAATTGTGCCTTTTGTAAGACACTCTGAGTCCCCCCTGGGGGGTTGAGAAGGGCGGGGTAGAAGTGCGCGAAATAAATATTATTTCTGGCACCCCCTTTTTGCTTGATAGTCAAGCAGTGCTTCATATAAGTCAGATCACAGTCCAGAGTGACTCCTGGGTATTTTGGTGTGCTGCAATGCTCCAGTGGGATTCCTTCCCAGGGCATCCTCAGAGATCAAGATGCTTGTCTGTTTTTAAGATGAAAAACACACGTAGATGAGAAATCAGCTGGATATCCCTGTAATAGGCAGTAAGATCACATAAAGCTTTGGAGAGCTTCTGTTCCACCATTTCAAATCTTCCTGTTTGAGTGTTGATAGCATGATCGTCAGCATAGATTAAACTCTCTGTCCCTTTTGGCAGTGGCTGGTCATTTGTGTAAATGTTAAACAATGATGGAGCAAGCACGCTCCCCTGAGGCAGTCCATTCTTCTGTTTTTGCCACCTACTTCTCTGACTCTGGAACTCAACAAAAAAGCTCCTGTTTTGTAGCAGATTTCTTATAAAGCTGGTGAGGTGACAGTCCTTTGTGATATTATAATTTTTTCTCAGGACAAGGTGATGATTTACAGTATCACATGCTGCTGACAGGTCTATGAACACAGGTCCTGTAATCACTGGGTTTGGTGATGGGGTTGAAAGTTATTATGCACCTATGTGCCCATGTGGCAGTACATCCCAGAAGGCAGCAGTACTGGTTTGAGTTCACTTCTAGATGAAAGTGCTGCAGGGCTGGCCCTTCATAAGACTTGTTCTCTATACAAAAAATAGAAGCTGGAACAAAATATACATCTGAAACACATTATTTTGCTCTGTTTATTATTATTATTATTACATTTACATTATTTTGCTCTATTATTATTATTACATTTATTATTTTACTCTATTTTTATTACTACTTTTACTATTTTATCTATTATTATTGTGATTGTGATTATTATTACATTTACATTATTTTACTCTCCTGATTATGATTATTACATTTATTATTTTACTTTATTATTACGTTTATTATTTTATTCTATTTAGAATAATAATATATTATTTTTCTTTATTCTTAATGTTATTACATTCATTATTTTACTCTATTATTATTACATTTATTATTTTACTTTATTATTACATTTTTTTCTATTTAGAATAATAATAATAATAATTATTATTATTATTATTATATACCGTATATACTCGAGTATAAGCCGAAGCACCTGATTTTACCACAAAAAAACCTGGGAAAATGTATTGACTCAAGTATAAGCCGAGGGTGGGAAATGCAGCAGCTACTGATAAATTTCAAAATAAAAATAGATACCAATAAAATTATATTAATTTAGGCATCAGTAGGTTAAATGTTTCTGAATATTTACATAAAACTGTAATTCAAAATAAGACTCTCCAACTCTGATTAAACCATTATTCTAACCTCCTTCAATGTAAATATGCTTACATGTCCTCCAATAATAATAGAGTAAAATAATAATAATAATAATAATAGAGTAAAATAATAAATGTAATAATAACAACAACAATAAAATAATAAATGTAATAATAACAACAACAACAAAGTAAAATAATAAATAATATTGACTCGAGTATAAGCCAGGGGAGACTTTTTCAGCCTAAAAAAGGGACTGAAAAACTAAGCTTATACTCGAGTATATACAGTATATTATTTTTATTTATTCGTATTGTTATTACATTCATTATTTTATTCTATTTATTATTATTACATTTATTATTTTACTCTTGCTACTACATTTATTATTTTACTCTATTATTACTGTTATTGTTACATTTCCATTATTTTACTCTATTATTATTTTTATTACATTTATGATTTTACTCTCTATATTGGAGGAGCCTGGTAGTGGTGCAGTGCGTAAAACCGCTGAGCTGCCAAACTTACCAACCAAAAGGTTGGTGGTTCAAATCTGGGGAGTGGGGTGAGCTCCCACTGTTAGCCCCAGCTTCTGCCAACCTAGCAGTTCGAAAAAATGCAAATGTGAGTAGAGCAATAGGTATTGCGGGAAGGTAATAGTGCTTCATGCAGTCATGCTGGCCACATGACCTTGTAGGCATCTATGGACAACGCTGGCTCTTCGGCTTGAAAATGGAGATGACCACCACCCCCAGAGTCGGACATGACTAGACTTTACCTTTTACTTAGTTTAATTTGGAGATAATTAAACTAAATATCTTAATTAGTTGGGACTTGGGCCCTTATTAGTCTTCTACAAACATTCCTAGCGCTAATAATAATAATAATAATAATAATAATAATAATAATAGCAATAATAATAGTGCAGCACAGCTGGGGTACACCTTTCTGGCCACATCGCTCTTGACCATGGGTGCCACTCTCTTTGTTTTCTCTCTTTGGCAGTGCGCGATCTGATCTTTTGGCGGGATGTGAAGAAGACGGGCCTTGTCTTCAGTACAACGTTGATCTTGCTCCTCTCCTTGGCCGCTTTCAGCGTCATCAGCGTTATCTCCTACCTTATCCTGGCACTGCTCTCGGTCACCATCAGCTTCCGGGTCTACAAGTCCGTCATCCAGGCCGTACAGAAATCTGAAGAGGGACACCCATTCAAGTGAGTGGGCTTGCTTCAGCGAAGGAAATGCACATCAGGCATTATTCTCATTGGGGATCCTTGAGCCAAGTGATCCGCTGTCCTATGTATGAGGGTTATCCGGAAAGTAAGGTTGCAAGATTTTTTTAAAAAGCACAAAAAATGAATATATTTTAATAACACTTACATTGTAGCCAAGGTATTACATTATTTTTCCACATAATCACCATTCCTCAGTTCTTGTGGGTTTTTTCGGGCTATATGGCCATGTTCTAGAGGCATTTCTCCTGACGTTTCGCCTGCATCTATGGCAAGCATCCTCAGAGGTGAGGATGCTTGACATAGATGCAGGCGAAACGTCAGGAGAAATGCCTCTAGAATATGGCCATATAGCCCGAAAAAACCCACAAGAACTGAGTGATTCTGGCCATGAAAGCCTTCGACAATACATTAATCACCATTCCGTTCAATACATTTTGTCATCCATTTTTGAAGCCTGTGACATAGAAGTTTCCCTCCGCCTTTTTCAGCCAGTTCGTCACGTCAATTTTCACCTCGTCACTGTCATCAAAGTGTTTTTCACCCAGGTGTTGCTTCAAAAGTGAACAGAGAAATTGATCAGCAACTATTTATCGTGTCATCAGCAACCGTACCATTGTATTACAATTCTAACAGAACAAAACAAACACACAGATTAAAAAGAAAAAAAACACACAGATTTTGCAAACTTGGTAGTTAGTTAAATGCCCTTTGACCAGTATCTGGCCACTTGGAGTGCCTCTGGCGTTGCCGCAAGAAGGTCCTCCATTGTGAATGTGGCAGGGCTCAGGGTGCATTGCAGCAGGTGGTCAGTGGTTTGCTCTTCTCCCCACTTGCATGCCGAGGATTCCACCCTGTAGCCCCATTTCTTAAGATTGGCTCTGTATCTTGTGGTGCCAGAGTGCAGTCTGTTCAACGCCTTCCAAGTCGCCCAGTCTTCTGAGTGCCCAGGGGGGAGTCTCTCATCTGGTATCAGCCATTGATTGAGGTTCTGGGTTTGAGCCTGCCACTTTTGGACTCTCGCTTGCTGAAGTGTTCCAGCAAGTGTCTCTGTAGATCTTAGAAAACTATGTATTGATTTAAGTTGTTGATGTGCTGGCTTATACCCAAACGGGATGAGCTGGAGATGTCACTGCTTTGGTACTTTCACTATTGGCTGATACTTCCCGGCGGATGTCAGGTGGTGCAATACCAGCTAGACAGTGTAATTTCTCCAGTGGTGTAAGGGCGCAGACACTCTGTGATAATGCGACATGTCTCATTAAGAGCCACATCTGCTGTTTTAGTGTGGTGAGATGTGTTCCACACTGGGCATGCGTACTCAGCAGCAGAGTAGCATAGTGCAAGGGCAGATGTCTTCACTGTCTGGTTGTGATCCCCAGGTTGTGCCAGTCAGCTTTCGTATGATATTGTTTCTAGCACCCAGTTTTTGCTTGATGTTCAGGCAGTGCTTCTTGTAGGTCAGAGCACGGTCCAGAGTGACTCCCAGGTATTTGGGTGTGCTGCAATGCTCCAGTGGGATTCCTTCCCAGGTGATCCTCAGAGCTTGGGATGCTTGTCTGTTCTTAAGGTGAAAAGCACATGTCTGTGTTTTAGATGGATTAGGGATCAGCTGGTTTTCCCTGTAATAGGCAGTAAGAGCACCTAGAGCTTCGGAGAGCTTCTGTTCAACCATCTCAAAGCTCCCTGCTTGAGTGGTAATGGCACGATCATCAGCATAGATGAAACTCTCTGTCCCTTCTTGCAGTGGATGGTCATTTGTGTAGATGATCAGCAACTGAACATGCTAGAGAGGTTTGGGGAGAATTCACCAGGAGTCGGAGGTCCTAGGATGTATAGTTCCCCTGCAAGAGTACTCTGAACTCCACCAACAATGGACCTGGAACTCACTTGGCACACAGAACTCCCATGACCAAGAAAAAATACTGGAGATCTTTAGAACGATTTATAGGAGTTGTAGTTCACCTACATGGAGAGTACCAAATCTGGACCAAACTTCGTATGCATACCCAGATATGCCCAGATTTGAATACTGGTGGGTTTTGAGGGGAATTGCCCTGGACATTTTGTAGGTACGGGGAGTAATAGTTCACCTGCAATCAAAGAGCACTCTGAACTCCATCAAAGATGGAATTGGACCAAACTTGGCACATAGAGCCTCCATGACCAGAAAAAAATACTGGAGGTCTTTGGGGGAAATTCACCTTGATTTGGGGGAGTTGTAGTTCATTAAACTCCAGTTTGCTAATAAAACTGAATTACTGTGTTGCAAAATTATTATTATTATTATTATTATTATTAAACTTTATTTGTACCCCGCTAGCATCTCCCGAAGGACTCGATGCGGCTTACAAAGGCCAAGGCCTCAACATAACAACAACAAACAATAACAATGCAAGCAAATTAAAAACATAAGCAATAACACAACAAAACATTACACTATTACACAATAAAATCAGGGCCGGGCCAATGATGGGTACAGGTTAAAAGTGCTGGGTGTGTGAGGTGGTATGTTGGAGTTCTGGGCAAGTGCAATGTGCAGAGAGTCTTAAACTCTAATAAAGTGCTTCTGGGACAGAGTGCTGGAGATTATCCTATTCTGGGAAGGCACATCGGAATAGCCAGGTCTTCAAGTTCTTCCTAAAGACTGCCAACGTGGGTGCTAGTCTAATGTCTTTGGGGAGGGTGTTCCAGAGTCGGGGGGCCACCACAGAAAAGGCCCTGTCTCATGTCCCCACCAAACGCGCTTGCGATGCAGGCGGGATCATGAGCAGGGCCTCTCCAGATGAACGAAGTGAGCGTGTAGGTTCGTAGACGGAGATGCGGTCACGCAGGTAGGCTAGTCCCAAACCGTTCAGGGCTTTGTAGGTAAGCACCTGCATCTTAAATTGGGCTCGGAAAATAAACGGCAGCCAGTGGAGCTCCTTGAACAGAAGGGTTGACCTCTCTCTGTAATGGGCCCCAGTTAGCATCCTGGCTGCTGCCCGTTGGACCAATTGGAATTTCCGAGCGTTTTCAAGGGCAGCCCCACGTAGAGCGCATTACAGTAATCCAATCTAGAGGTGACCAAGGCATGGACCACCCTGGCCAAATCAACCTTTGCGATATGGTAAATTGGACCAAACTTGGAACACAGACCTCATATGCCGAAATTTGATTACTGGAGGGGTTTGAGGGGAACTGACCTTTGTTTCTGGGAGTTGTAGTTCACCCACAACCAGAGAAACTATGACTTCCACTGATGATGGACCTGGATCAAACTTGGCACACAGAATCCCCATGACTAACTCAGCCTACTGAAGGGGTTTGAGGGGACTGACTCAACATAGTGGAAGTTGTAGTTTACCCTACAGCCAGAGAGCACACTGAGTCCCACTGAAGGCTTCCAGATTTTTAATTATTTTGTTTGCCCTTCTCTGGGCACATTGCACCTTGTCCGTATCCTCCTTGAATTGTGGTGCCAGTACTCGACACAGGACTATTTCAGGTGCAGTCTAACCAAAGCAAGATAGAATGGGACGGTTACTTTCCCTGATCTAGAGACTATACTATTGATATAGCCTAGAATCGCAGTGGCTTTTTTAGCTGCCACATAACATATTTTGATGCTTGTTCACCTGCTGGTTACTCTCTGCTGCCCATTGTTATGCATAGCCACTAACTGTGAATTTCCCATTTTTTTCTGTTTCAGGGCTTACCTGGATCTGGATGTTGCGCTGTCTTCAGAGGCTTTCCACAACTATGTCAGCTCCGCTATGGTGCACGTCAATCATGCCCTGAAAGCCATCATGCGCCTCTTCCTGGTGGAAGATTTGGTGGATTCGCTGAAGGTCAGAGCATGGGTGGATTAGTAGTCTGTTGCCCTAAGTATAAGGCAGAACAGCGCACCAAGCCTGCACATGTCTTTAAAATACAAATTATGACCATCCAATGTAAAAGTTTCAGACTAGCTTTAAGCCTCCCTCTCCTCTGCTGCAGTTGGGCAGTGGACTTCTGCCTGGGATAGCAAATGTTTTGGAAAAACACGGCCTTTTAGAGATACCCTTTTAGAAAATGGCATTCATAACTTTTTAGAGAAGAGCCAAAAACCCATTTGAGTAGAATTTTCTCAAGTGGTATACAACCAATGTAATTATGCAAGGCAATTGGCTTTAGTTGTTAGACTGAATACCCTGTTCTCTCTGATCTGGTAGGAAAACGGAAAATATGCCAGTGCATCAAAATAGCAGTTCTTCAGAAGTGTTTTTCAGTGCCCAAAAATATATCTACTAGAGTGTTGCAACTCAGAGTAAGCTTCACCTTGCTTCCAAACACAACCACACAAGAGCTGTAGTTTTATAGTTTATTGAGGAAGAAATCCAAGTCAAAATAAAGAATAAGCATTGCAAAGTTCCAAAGATTAAGGTTAAATGGTTTGGAATAAGGTTTGGAATATAGTTCCAAAGATCTTCAGGTAAAAACAGGAGACACAATCCTATTGGCAAAATTCAAACCAGAGTCCCAGGTACAAGCAATGAAACAATTGCCCATGAATCACAATGCAAGAAATCCCAAGCATACTGCTTTCCAGGCTAAGGTTATTCCTTGAAGCTTTCAGGCTAATAAGCTACGTTGAACTGACACTTTCCCTTGGTTTGCAAGAAACCTAAATACCTTTCTAACATGAAATCATTACATGAAATCATTGCGATGACCTTTCACCGAGCTGGCCTCTCATCTGCTGGCCAGGTGAGAACTCCGCCTGGTCCGGAGATCAAGAAGAGCTTGCCGGGTCAGGTCACTGTCAAGGCTTTCAGTATTAGCGTGGGAAGGAGGAGGTGAATGCCTCCCCACCTGTTCACTATCTCCTTCGTTAAAATTCCTTTCTCTTGGGAACCGCAGTGTTGATGTTGACTATGCACTGTCTGTGCTGTCTGTGGGAGCTGCAGGCCCAGAGATCTGAGGCACAGAAAAAGAGCCTAATATCTATCTAAAGGTAAAGGTTTCCCCTGACATTAAGTCTAGTTGTGCTCGATTCTGGGGTTTGGTGCTCATCTCCATTTGTAAGCTAAAGAGCCGGCATTGGCTGTTGACACTTCCTATGTCATGTGGAGCACCATTACCTTCCTGCCAAAGCAGTACCTATTGATCTACTCACACTTAAATGGTTTTGAATTGCTAGGTTGGCAGAAGCTGGGGCTAACAGCAGGAGCTCACCCCACTCTCTGGATTCAAACAGCCAACCTTTCAGTCAGCAAGTTCAGCAGCTCAGTGGTTTAACCTCCTGTGCTGGCAGGATTGAAGACCGACAAGTTGCAGGTTCGAATCCGGGGAGAGTGCGGATGAGCTCCCTCTATCAGCTCCAGCTCTTCATGCGTGGACATGAGAGAAGCCTCCCATAAGGGTGGTAAAACAACAAATCATCCGGGCGTCCCCTGAGTTACATCCTTGCAGACCGCCAATTCTCTCACACCAGAAGCGACTTGCAGTTTCTCAAGTCACTCCTGTGTCGTGTCGATAAAAGAATAACAACAGATTGCCATTATATCTACTCTCCCATAAAACAACTTGTTTTAGATTATCCACTCAAGTGACAAAATAAATTAGACTTTGGTAAAGATAATGTATTTGGTTTACTCACAACCTTCATGTCTTCAGCATACATAGGTACACAACTTATCAGTCAGTTACAGATATGTTTGAGATAGTTTCTGTGCCATATAGTCAGAACATCTCTCTTTAATAAACAACAGGAAAGTGTTTGCAAGTCTGAGCAGTCCCAAAGTTTAAAGAAGTCTGCGCTCTGGGCTCACCTCAGAGCAAGGTCTGCAGCCACTCCCACAACTTCGCAGGAAAACATAGAGCAAGGAAAGAAAGATACGGAGAAAACATGTTGGGCGGGTAGGCTTGTTAACAAAAGACCCTCCTCATAAATGCACAGCAGAGAAACTTATTAGCAGCAGCATGACCCAGCGCCAGTAGCCCAAAGTGATAAAAATAATATAAACACACTGACCAATGTTATCTCGTTCATAGAAGGCTTTTTTTCTTTATAGTAAAATAATATGGTTGCACTATTTACAAGAAAAAGGTTTCCATAACATAAATAAAGTTCTTTATACTTCCTTCTTTGCTTCCACACTGGGCTTCTTTCTCATGTGGATACACAGCTTTGCTGTCACAGAGCCTCTTTTCACACCAAACATACACAGTAGCTTTAGACACAGCAGCCTTCACAATGAAGTTTCACACATGAGGCCTTCAACCTGAGGCTTCCTTCTCCAAAGCTTCTCACGCCATGCTTTCCTCAGACTGAGGCCTACTAACACACTGAGGCCTTTCTGTCACTGAGGCCTACTCACACTGAAGTCTCTCTCACACTGAGGCCTCTCACATACTGAGGCCTTTCTCCCACAGAGGCTTCTCTCCCACTGAGGGCTACCTCAGTCCGAAGCTTCTCACARCATMCTTTCCTCATACTGAGGCCTACTAWCYCACTGKCTTTCTGCCACTGAGGCCTACTCACACTGAGGCCTCTCACATACTGAGGCCTTTCTCCCACAGAGGCTTCTCTCCCACTGAGGGCTACCTCAGTCCGAAGCTTCTCACACCATGCTTTCCTCATACTGAGGCCTACTAACGCACTGAGGTCTTTCTSCCACTGAGGCCTACTCACACTGAGGRCTCTCTCAGACTGAGGCACTCACATACTGAGGCCTTTCTCCCACAGAGMKTTCTCTCCCACTGAGGGCTACCTCAGTCRGAAGCTTRTRACACCATGCTTTCCTCATACTGAGGCCTACTAACYRACTGAGGRCTTTCTSCCACTGAYGCCTACTCACACRGAGGTCMCTCTCAGACTGAGGCACTCACATACTGAGGCCTTTCTCCCACAGAGTATTCTCTCCCACTGAGGGCTACCTCAGTCTGAAGCTTTTRACACCATGCTTTCCTCATACTGAGGCCTACTAACATACTGAGGCCTTTCTGCCACTGAAGCCTACTCACACCGAGGACTCTCTCAGACTGAGGCATCACACATACTGAGGCATTTCTCCCACAGAGGCTTCTCTCCCACTGAGGGCTGCCTCAGACGGTTGCCTACAAAGCTACAGACATACCTGCTTGTGTGGCTACTCTCCGATATACATATATAGTGTCCCTACTTCGTGAATTTTCACTTTTTGGGGGTGGTCCTGGAACGTAACACCCGCGATAAGTGAGGGAAACTGTACAGGATGTCTGAGTGGGAAAACTTTAGAACTGTCTTTTTAGGATTGTGGAAAGAAGGAATAAACCACTTGTCTCCAGCATTTTATTGTTGTGAGCTTGATTTTAACTCCAAGATCTTCCAGAGTCTGACATTAACTGTATTCTGTCCTGTTTTGCAAACAGCTGGCAGTTGCCATGTGGCTGATGACCTATGTCGGGGCCATCTTCAATGGGATCACTCTTCTCATCTTGGGTAAGATGCAATAATAGTCAAAACAGCAAATTGCCATCACATAGCACACTGAAAGTGCAGGAGCAGGATGTGAAATCCCTCTTTCTTGTTTTGGTTTATGTACGAGGGTTGAATGAAAAGTAATGCCTCCACCATCGTAATTCCTCAACAGATGGCAGTACTGGTATGCGGAGGATACTGGCTTGTTCAGTAGACTCTCCTCTACAGTTCCATTTTGGCAGGAAGCCTTAGCATTGAATGGTTGTGTTGTTAAAGTGTGAAGTATGGAACCCTGTGCAGACGGTCAGTCAATGTGACTTAAACAACGTGCAGTCATTGAATTCTTGACAGCAGAAGGTGTCACCCCAAAGGACATTCTTCAGAGAATGCAGAGAATGTTTATGGGGATTCGCTGCCTAGGGAGATCAGGCTGGTTTTAAGAAAGACCTAAAAACCTGGCTCTTCTGTTGTGCTTTTGGAGAATGACCACTCAACACATCTGGTTGTCTTAGCCTACAGCTGCCCTCAGAATAAAGCATCTTCCCACCCCTAAAATGGCTAAATTTATTTATTTACTTTGCTTGTATACCGCAGTTTCTCAGCCCGTAGGCGACTCAACGCGGTTCACAACAAGAGCAAAAGTCAATCCAACAACATACAATATTAAAACCATTAACAGTATAAAATACAAACTAATGACATCTCAATAACAACACATTAACGTCTCGTAACTAAAATCGTGATCCAATTCGTCATCCATAAATCCCATGGTTCCTCCCTTTTCCTTGGGTTCCTTTCCTACAAATGCACTTTTATCCCTATCTCACCCAGGGTTTTAACTTCTTGACATTTTACCTGATACATTTGGCCCGCCCTCTGTGTCTGGTTTTACTATGCTGTTTTATATTGTTGATTTTGTTATTTTATATTTTGTTAGGATGTATTTTGTTGTTGTGTGCTTATTATGTTGTATTATTTTGGGCTTGGCGTCATGTTAGCTGCCCCGAGTCCCCTTTGGGGAGATGGTGGCGGGTTATAAATAAAGTGTATTCTTGTTGTTGTTGTTATTATTATTATTATTATTATTATTATTATTATTATTATTGTGTTGACGTGAGTTCTGCTTCTTGGCAGAATGGGGTTGGACTGGATGGCCCATGAGGTCTCTTCCAACTCTTTGATTCTATGATTCTGTGTGTTGTTTGGTAAGTTTAAAGATATTGAGGTGGGAACATCTGACAAAGAGTTGGACGTCCTGTGACAGCAACCACCGAGTTTCACAAGCAAAAAGTTGACAGATTGATTCAGGACAATCGTATCCCTCAGAGAGAAATTTCAAGCATAATCGGAATTTCACAACAACGTGTGGGTCACATTATTGCTTTGCTTTGCTATTGGAAGATCTGTGCATTATGGGTACCCAGGATGTTGACGCCGGTTGCTGAAACAGAGTGTCGACTTTTTCTGTGACGGCTTCAGAAAACTTGTTCATTGTTGGCAGAAATGTATCCAATTGTCTGGTGATTATGTGGGAAAGTGAATAGTGGTAGTTAAAGAGCACATTCTAAGGATTATTTCTGCATTTGATTTATTAAAATATTCCCATCCAAACCCAAGTAACAAAGGTGGAGGCATTACTTTTCATTCAACCCTCATATTAGCTACATTTTAATTCCAGATGGACGTCCTGTGACAGCAACCACTGAGTTTCACAAGCAAAAGATTGACAGATTGATTCAGGACGATTGTTGTATCCCTCAGAGAGAAATTTCAAGCATATTTGGAATTTTACAAGAATGTGTGGGTCACATTATTGCTTTGCTTGGCTATCGGAAGATCTGTGCACGATGGGTACCCAGAATGCTGACACTGGTTGCTGAAACAGAATGTCAACTTCTTCTGTGACGGCTTCAGAAAACTTGTTCATCCTTCACAGAAATGTATCTTAATTGTCTGGTGATTATGTGGAAAAGTGAATAATCTAAGGATTATTTCTGCGTTTGATTTATTAAAATATTCCCATCTAAACCGAAGTAACGAAGGTGGAGGCATTACTTTTCATTCAACCCTCGTTTTAGCTACATTTTATTCCAGTGATCTTGAGATCACATACCTGGCTCTCTCCCCCCTGCTTTATCTTGACACAATCTTGTGAGGTAGGCCAGAGTGAAACAGGACCAAAGTCACCAAGTGAATTTCAGGACCCAGTAGGAACTACAGCCCAGATTTCCACCCGCAATGGTCCTTTGGGATGTGAACGTTCCATTTTATAGTCATGGCCAATAACCAGTGATAACCTTCCTCCATTAATTCCCTTTTAAGTTGTAACCATTGCTCCATCTTTTGGTGTCAGGTTCCACCAATTCACCTGATTTCAAGGTCTTCCAAGGTGTTGGAGAAAAACCATTCAGGGTGTTAAGACTGGGAAACCTGCCTGTTTCTCAGCTTGTGGAATTGCAGCAAGGCTGCCTTTATTTATTTGTCGTGTCAGGGCAACCAGTCAATTGTATTACAATTCTAACAGAACAAAACAAACAGACAAAATACAAAATTTGCAAGCTTGGTAGTTGATTAAATGACCAGTATCTGGCCCTTTGGAGTGCCTCTGGTGTTGCCGCAAGAAGGTCCTCCATTGTGCATGTGGCAGTGCTCAGGGTGCATTGCAGCAGGTGGTCTGTAGTTTGCTCTTCTCCCCACTCGCATGTTGTGGATTCCACTTCAGGCCCCATTTCTTGAGGTTGGCTCTGCATCTCGTGGTGCCAGAGCGCAATCTGTTCAGCGCCTTCCAAGTCGCCCAGTCTTCTGTGTGCCCAAGGGGGAGTCTCTCATTGGGTATCAACCATTGGTTGAGGTTCTGGGTTTGAGCCTGCCACTTTTGGACTCTCGCTTGCTGAGGTGTTCCAGCGAATGTCTCTGCAGATCTTAGAAAACTATTTCTAGATTTATGTCGTTGACGTGCTGGCTGATACCCAAACAGGAGATGAGCTGGAGATGTCTCTGCCTTGCTCCTTTCACTATTGGTTGCTACTTCCCTGCGGATGTCAGGTGGTGCAATACTGGCTAAGCAGTGTAGTTTCTCCAGTGGTGTAGGGCGCAGTCACCCCGTGATAATGTGGCATGTCTCATTCAGAGGCACATCCACTGTTTTAGTGTGGTGAGATGTGTTCCACACTGGGCATGCGTACTCAGCAGCAGAGTAGCATAGCGCAAGGGCAGACGTCTTCACTGTGTCTGGTTGTGATCCCCAGGTTGTGCCAGTCAGCTTTCCTATGATATTGTTTCTAGCGCCCACTTTTTGCTTGATGTTCAAGCAGTGCTTCTTGTAGGTCAGAGCACGGTCCAGAGTGACTCCCAGGGATTTGGATGTGCTGCAATGCTCCAGTGGGATTCCTTCCCAGGTCATCCTCAGAGCTCGGGATGCTTATCTGTTCTATTGAACAGACAAGAACAGACAAGGCTGCCCTTGCCACGACGTGATTGCTTTACTTAGCCTTGTTCAGATTCCTTGACCTGTCCTGGTTATTTTGTGGAACTAACCGTCTTCCTTGTCTCGTTGCAGGCGAGTTGCTGGTTTTCAGCCTGCCCCTTGTGTATGAGAAGTACAAGGTGGGTAACCTTAAATGTAATCTTATGAAACATTTCATACCTGGCCTGGCGCACATGGGATTTTCATGGAAGTGCTAGTCCTTGGAGCTGCATCTCCTGAGCTGGGGTCAAAGGGGTGGCTCATAAATAATTGAAATTATACTTACCATTTTATTGTGTTGTCAAAGGCTTTCATGGCCAAAATTACTGGGTTGCTGTGAGTTTTCCGATCTGTATAACCATGTTCCAGAAGCATTCTCTCCTGACGTTTGCCCACATCTATGGCAGGCATCCTCACAGTTTGAGAAGTTTTGTCTTTTGCTGAAATCACAAGAACGTCTGAGGATGCCTGACATAGATGTTGGCAAAATGTCAGGAGAGAATGCTTCTGGAACATGGCCATACTGATCAGAAAACTCACAGCAACCGATTATTTCACACAAAAATCTTATGGTGACAAAAAGAATGTATGCATACATATGAGAGACCAATTATGTATGGCAGTCCTAAATGAACAAAATCTGGCTACTAGTATTAAAAAACTCTAAAGTTACAACAGCACAACAGCAGAGAGGAAACAAACAAGGGCATCTAATCACCTCTCAACAAAAGTTTGCTCTAGGCACTGGCAAGCCATTATATGCTAATCAAGGTGATCAGTGGAAACATTCACACCTAGCTCCAGCAGACAAGAGTCCTTTGTCCCACCCTGGTCATTCCACAGATATATAAACCCTTTTTCCTAGTTCCAACAGACCTCACTACCTCTGAGGATGCTTGCCATAGATGCAGGCGAAACGTCAGGAGAGAATGCCTCTAGGCCATGGCCATATAGCCCGAAAAAACCTACAACAACCCACTAAATATTATCGCCTAACAATCTTATGTGCCTCATTGAACTTCCTTCGGATTTCCTCCAATGCTGTCGTTTTACTTTTCAGACTCAGATTGACCATTATGTTGGCATTGCCCGGGATCAGATCAAGTCTGTCGTTACAAAGTAAGTGCTTTCAAAGTTACTGAAAAAAAAATATGTATGCTTTGTATTGGGCACCCCTGGTGATGCAGCGGGTTAAACCACTGAGCTGCTGAACCTGCTGACTGAAAGGTTGGCGGTTTGAATCTGGGGAGTGGGGGAGCTCCTGTCGTTAGCCCCAGCTTCTTCTAACCTAACAATTTGAAAACATGCAAATGTGAGTAGATCAATAGGTACTACTTCTTTGGGAAGGTAACAGTCCTCCATGCAGTCATGCTAGCCACATGACCTTGGAGGTGTCTAGGGACAACGCCGGCCCTTTGTCTTAGAAATGGAGATGAGCACCACCCCCCAGAGTTGGATATGACTAGGCTTTACCTTTGATGCTTTGTATGCCTAATGTGAAGAAGAGGTTTTATTAAGAAGACAACAACCCCCATCCTGTGGGCTAACCCAAACTAGCCAGATGAACCCCAAAATCAAAGCAAAAAAACAGTCTTTTAAACTAATTATATTTTCTTCGTACCATTTTCAATGTGCTTAATCCTGGCCCTATTTGAGAGTGGTGGGCCTGAGGGTTTCCATATCCAAAGGCTTGCCAGATCTAAGCATGCTTAATCTCGGCAAGATGGCTACACCAAGTACTTGAGTATAAGCTGAGTTTTTCAGCACATTTTTTAGGCTGAAAAAGCCCTCCTCGGCTTATACTCGAGTCAGTTATTTATTAATTTACTCGTTGTTATTATTATTATTATTATTATTACATTTATTATTTTACTCTTTTATTTATTTATTTATTTATTTAGAGCTTTTATAACCCGGTCTTCTTGACCTCCGAAGAGGGACTCAGGCCGACTAATAGCAGAAAATTCATATACACATAGGATAAACATAATAGCATCGTAATACATTAATACATAAAATACATTAAAATACAGATCATACAATTACAAAAGCCAGGTCGTCAAAGTAAAATCACAAATTCATCACCCTCCGCCAGTGTGGTCAGCTGTTATTGACTCGATCATCATTCTGCAAATACTATTTTCCAAAGCCAAGATTTTACCAGGTTTCTGAAAGTCAGGAGGGAAGGGGCAGATCTAATCTCCAACAGGAGAGAGTTCCAGAGCCGAGGGGCCACCACCGAGAAGGCCCTGTCCCTCGTCCCCACCAGACGCGATTGTGAAGGTGGTGGGGCCGAGAGCAGGGCCCCTCCAGAAGATCTCTATTATTATTTTTATGGTACATGTATTATTTTACACTATTATTATTTTATTATTACATTTATTATTTTACACTATTATTTTTACAGTATATTTATTATTTTACTCTATTCTTATTTTTATTACATTTATTATTTTACTCTTTATTATGATTACATTATTATTTTCTCTATTTATTCTTATTATTACAATTATTATTTTACTCTATTCTTATTATTACATTTTTTCTATTTTTGTTACTACATTAATTATTTTACTCTATTATATTACATTTATTATTAGACTTTATTATTACATTTATTATTTTACTGTCTTTATTATTATTGGAAGGATACGTAAGCACATTTACAGTGAAGAAGGTTAAAATAATGGTTTAATCAGAGTTGGACAGTCATATCCGAAATTATAGTTTTATGTAAAAACTAGCTGTCCCCTGCCCAGCGTTGCTGTGGCCTAGTTTGTGTATATGTGTTTTGTGTGTGTATATATATATTTGTGTATATGTGTATATGTGTGTTTGAGTTTATATATGTGGTTTTGCACATGTGTTGTAATGTAATTGTTGTTTTTTGGCTTTTAAAGTCCCTTCTTCTGTGTTTTTATGAATGATGGTCACTCGTTGGCCTGATAGGTGTATTGTGTCCAAATTTGGTGTCAGTTCGTTCATAGGTTTTTCAATCGCTGCGTGTTATTTTCTATATGTAAGTTGTATTAATTGTATTGTTTTATTTGCTTGTTGCTTTGTTGTTTTTACTGACGTGTTGTTGGGCTTGGCCTCATGTAAGCCGCTTCGAGTCCCTTTGGGGAGATGGTGGCAGGATATAAATAAAGTATTATTATTATTATTATTATTATTATTATTATTATTATTATGTTAATCTCACAAACGAACATTACATTTTTATTTTTATTGAACCTACTGATGTCTCAATTAATATAATTTTATTGGGGTTTTTTTACTTTAAAATTGACTAGTAATGCATCGTTAATGCATCAATGGACCAAGGGATTTTTCCATCTGGGCTAAAACAGGCTGTGGTTAGACCACTCCTGAAAAAGACCTCCCTTGACTCCACGGTCTTGAGCAACTACAGACCAATCTCCAACCTTCCTTTCTCGGGCAAGGGTAGTTGCTTCTCAGCTCTAGGGTTTCCTTGATGACATCAACTATCTGGACCAGTCACAGTCTGGCTTCAGACCTGGCCACGGCACCGAGACAGCTTTGGTCGCCTTGGTGGATGGACTGGACAGGGGGAGTGTGACTCTGTTGGTTCTCTTGGACGTCTCAGCGGCTTTCAATACCATCGATCATGGTATCCTTCTGGGACGACTCTCCGGGATGGGCCTTGGAGGCACGGCTTTGTCGTGGCTCTGGTCCTTCCTGGAGGGTCGCTCCCAGATGGTGAAGCTGGGAGACGCCTGCTCGGACCCCTGGCCTTTGACCTGTGGGGTCCCACAAGGTTCCATTCTGTCTCCCATGCTTTTTAACATCTACATCAGTGGTTCTCAACCTTCCAAATGCCGCGACCCCTTACTTAGTACAGGTTCTCACCTTGTGGTGACCCCCAACCATAACGTTATTTTCGTTACTACTTCTTTAATTTTGCTACTGTTATGAATTGTAATATAAATATCTGATATGCAAGATGCATTTTCATTCACTGGACCAAATTTGGCACAAATACCTGATATGCCCATATTTGAATACTGGTGGGGTTGGAGGGGATTGATTTTGTCATTTGGGAATGTTGGAGTTGCTGGGATTTATAGTTCACCTAAAATCAAAGAGCCTTTTGAACTCCACCAATGATGGAATTGAATCAAACTTGGCACACAGAATTCCCATGGCCAAGAGAAATACTGGGAGAGTCTGGTGGACACTGAACTTGAGAATTTGGAGTTGTAGTTCACCTGCATCCATAGAACACTGTGGACTCAAACAGTGGTGGATCTGGATCAAACTTGGCGCAGATAATCAATATGCCCAAATATGAAAACTGGTAGAGTTTGGAGAAAACAGACCTTGCCATTTGGGAGTTGTAGTTGCTGGGATTCATAGTTCACCCACAATGAAATAGCATTCTCAACCCCACCAGTGATAGAATTGGACCAAACTTCCCACGCAGAACACCCATGACAAAGAGAAAATACTATGTTTTCTTATGGTCTTTGGTGACCCCTCTGACACCCCCTCTCGACCCCCACAGGGTTCCCGACCCCCAGGTTGAGAACCACTGATCTACATGAAACCGCTGGGAGAGGTCATCTGGAGTTTTGCAGTTGGGTGCCATCACTATGCAGATGACACGCAACTCTACTACTCTTTTCCACCCAATTCCAAGGAAGCCCCTCGGGTGCTGGACGCGTGTCTGGCCGCTGTAGCTATCTGGATGAGGAAGAACAAGCTGAAGATCAATCCCGACAAGATAGAGGTCCTCCTGATGGATCATAAACCAGACCGGGGTATAGGGTGGCAACCTGTGTTGGATGGGGTTACACTCCCCCTGAAGTCACAGGTCCGCAGTTTGGGGGTCCTCCTGGACTCATCACTGACGCTTGAAGCTCAGGCGCCGGGAGGGCCTTTGCACAATTAAGACTCGTGCGCCAACTGCAACCGTACCTCGTGAAGGCGGATCTGGCCAGGGTGGTCCATGCCTTAGTCACCTCCAGATTGGATTACTGTAATGCACTCTACATGGGGCTGCCCTTGACAATGGCCTGGAAATTTCAATTGGTTCAATGGGTGGCGGCCAGGTTGTTAACGGGCTCCTTTCAGGGAGCGGTCAACCCTCCTGTTTAAGGAGCTCCACTGGCTGCCATTCATTATCCGGTCCCAATTCAAGGTGCAGGTTCTTACCTACAAAGCCCTGAACGGTTTGGGACCCTCCTACCTGCGTTACCGCATTTCTGTGTACGAACCCACACGATCCCTTCGATCATCTGGAGAGGCCCTGCTCACGCTCGCACCTCCATCGCAGGTGCGATTGGTGGGGACGAGGGAGAGGGCTTTCTCGGTGGTGGCCCCCCAACTCTGGAGATTACTCCCCAAGGACATCAGGCATGCCCCGACCCTGGCAGTCTTTAGGAGGAGCCTGAAAACGTGGTTGTTCTAGTGTGCCTTCCCAGAATAAGGAATTTCCCAGCAATATGTCCTCGAAATGCACTTTACTATTGATCTAGGGATGTCTGCACGCCCCATCCCTCTCTGAAAACTCTATCTAGTTCATATTTCACCTGTTCATGCTCAGCATGATTCTTAAATTTTAATTATTACATTTGGCCCAGCCATAGGTTTTAAATGTCGTCGTGTCACTGCTATTGTTTATTTTTTGTTATGAGTTTTATTTTATTGTCTGTATTAATTGTTGTTATTGCTTTTATCATTGACTAGCTGTACCCGCCACACGTTGCTGTGGCCAACCTTCCCTCCCTCTTTTTCTCCTTTTTTCTTATCTTTCCTTCCCTCCCTCTTTCCTTCCTTCCCTCTTTTTCTTTTCTTTCCCTTCTTCTTTCTTCCTTCTCTACATGTTTCTTTTCTCACCTCTTTTGCTCTTTGGTTCCACCCTTCCTTGTCTCTTTCCTTCCTTCCCTCCCTCTTTCTCTCTTTCGTTCCTTCTCTCCTTCCTCCCCTCTTTCACTTTTTTATTTCATTCTCTCCCTCCTCTCCTTCCTTCCTTCTCTACTCTTCTTTCTTTCCTTCTTTATCTCCTTCCCTCCGTCTTTCCCTCCTTATCTCCTTCTCTACCCTTTTCTTTCCTTCCTTCTCTTCTTCCCTCTTTCTCTCCCTCCTTCTCTCCTTCCTTCCTTCTTTACCTTTCTTTCTTTCCTTCTTTCTCTCCTTCCCTCCTTTCCCTTCTTCTCTCCCTCCTTCTCTCCTTCCGTGGGGGGCGTGGGCGGGGGAAGAAGAAGGAGGGGGAGGAGGGATGGATTTGGACAGGGCGGGAAGGGGCGGGGCAGGGTTTGGAGGGGGCGTGGCTTGCTTGGAGGGGGCGTGGGCAGGGGAAGGAGGGGGAGGATGGATGGATTTAGGGGCGGGGGAGGGTAGGGGCGTGCCGTGAACGTGGGGTGTGTGGCGTGAACGTGGGGGGCGTGCGTTGGAAAGAGGGCGTATGGGAGGTAGGGGCGGAGCGATGGAGGATGGGGGCGTGGCTTGCACGGAGGGTGCTTTGGCCAGCCGGCCATGTGCGCATGCCGGGGACTTCATTGGCCGGTCGGCCATGTGCACGCGCCGGGGATTTGCGGCGGGGCGCCATTGCGCATGCTCAGTTGTTTTGTCTAATTGTGAGTGTGTTTTAATGTTGTTTAGGATTTTGAATCGATTTGTGCATACCTTGTGGGTTGAGGTATGTGCATGGTAAATTTGGTAAATTTTCGTCGGGGTTTTTTTGAGTTTTGCTGTCCCATTGGACGCCCTTTCTCTTTTTATATATATAGATGTATTGTGAGCTCGGCCTCATGTAAGCCGCACCGAGTCCCTTGGGAGATGGTAGCAGGGTATAAATAAAGAGTAGTAGTAGTAGTAGTAGTAGTAGTAGTAGTAGTAGTAGCTGCTGCATTTCCGACCCTCAAATTGTAATCGAGTCAATACGTTTAACCAATTTTTGTGATAAAATTAGGTGTCTTGGCTTATATTTGGGTCGGCTTATGTTCGAGTACATACGGTAACTTCAGACTCGTACAGAAAAGTGTAACATGGGCCCTTTAAGCCTAACGATAGTGGCGTTCTTACATTCTTAACACACCATGCGTAATCCTCTCCTTGTTGTGTTTCTCCCACAGGATCCAAGCAAAGCTTCCTGGAGCTGCGAAGAAAAAGCCGGAATAACTTTGCCCAGGGAGCTATGACCCGGATGTTAACTAAATCGAATCACCGAAAAAACAAACCAACTACCCCTTGTGTCATAGTTATAACCATTGTTACTTGTACCTATGAAGGAAAACGCCAAGTCAGCTTGATGTCTGCATTCCAAGCTTACTGATTTCATTTTTATTATTATTATTATTATTATTTTAAATTCTACCTCCCACCCCACCCCAAGCGTAAACACTGGGCTTAGGATGCACTGGACTAAATAGGAACGGGTGCCTGACATTTACAGGTGGGGAGGAGCTGGTGGGCCTCTTTCTTGACCTTTTTGCAGGTGGAAACACACAGTTGATGGGTCATCAAAAGCTGGAGATGCTCTTTTTCTGGTTTCTCAACCACGCAACTACAAGCTGAAGGTAGCCTCCATCTCCCAGGGCTTGGAAATAATTGGCTAACCCAGTCTTATTCGAATATTCAGCATGATTTCCATGAGTTTTAGTTCGTGACTGAGAGAGGGACCATTGAAAGGGAGGAGCACTAGGGACCACAGAGCGACCATTTGGGACCACTTTAAATATGTGAAGCATTTTAAAATAAATTATTGGCGTAATGAATTAATAGGGTATTTCTCCTCCACCCTTTTTAATCTTAACTTAAATTGGCCTTGGCAGTTCAGTGTTGACGCATTCGCCCCAGTGCGGACATTTCCAAGCTCTGCTCTCTGCCTTCTTCCTGCGCGTTCCTGTTAAAATGGCAGGAATTCCCAACAAAGCTCTATCTCAGCAGGCTCTTGATGTCTTTCTTCCAACAAAGAAAGAGGTCTTTCTTCCAACAAGCCCGTCAAAGGCTTTCATGGCTGGAATCACTGGGTTGCAGGGAGTTTTCCAGGCTGTATAGCCATGTTCCAGAAGCATGCTCTTCTGACATTTTGCCCACATCTCAGGCAGGCATCCTCAGAGGTGGTGAGATCTGAGTGGGGTTTATATACGTGTCGCATGACCAGGGTAGGAGAAAGAACTCTTGTCTGTAAGAAGCCAGGCAGTAAGAAGCCAGACTCTTGTCTGTTGGAGGCAAGTATGAACGTTGCAGTTGGCCACCTTGATTATTGGTTTCAAGGTCTCGTTTGTTACTGCCTCAGGGAATCCTTTGTTGGGGGACGATTAGCTGTCCAACGAAGGATTCCCCCAGGCACTAAGAAGCCAGACTCTTGTCTGTTGGAGGCAAGTATGAACGTTGCAGTTGGCCACCTTGATTATCGGTTTCAAGGTCTCGTTTGTTACTGCCTTCAGGAATCCTTTGTTGGGAGTTGATTAGCTGTCCAACAAAGGATTCCCCCAGGCAGTAAGAAGCCAGACTCTTGTCTGTTGGAGGCAAGTATGAACGTTGCAGTTGACCACCTTGATTATCAGTTTCAAGGTCTCGTTTGTTACTGCCTCAGGTAATTCTTTGTTGGGGGACGATTATCTGTCCAACAAAGGCTTCCCCCAGGCAGTAAGAAGCCAGACTTGTCTGTTTGAGGCAAGTGGGAATGTTGCAGTTGTGTCCTGATTTGCCCTTCAAGTATAGCCTTAATACAATGTTGAAAGTAAAAGAAAAATACTTTACTTCAGTAAACACAAAAAACAACAACAGCAAATGCAGTTGAAAAATGCAAAAGAAAGCAAGGAAGTCTTAACGCAGACACAAAACTCAGCAGTCTTACATCAGACAACGAGCAATGATCACTAAACCCTTAGAAGCAGACTCAAAGCAGGTACAATTGGAGCAAAGACATCAGCATCAGAGTCATTTGTTACCAGCTAACTGCTCCTGCTCCTGATTTATTGCCCTGAATTCACTATTTAGAAGGTGCTAAGGTGGCTCCCAATTAGCTCAGCGTTTCTAGCAGCTAGCAGAGCTGAACGCCGTCTATGCTCTTTTTCCTTTCCAGAAATGTGGGCACTTGCAAGACTTCATTGTCTGATTCCAATCCTTCTGATTCCTGAACACTTTCCTGCTCCCCTTCCTCTTTTGAAGATGACAAATCCCTAACAAATAATAATAATAATAATAATAATAATAAACCTTATTTATACCCCGCTACCATCTCCCGCAGGACTCGGTGCGGCTTAGAAGAGGCCGAGCCCAAATAACAACAACAATAAAACACAACGACAACAATACAACAGTAAATAACTCATAAACAAAGCAAAACAACAACAACAACATCACAATGCATTTAAAAACCTGAGGCAGGGCCAAATGTAATGATTAAAAATTTGAAAAATGCTATAACTAGAATTAAAAATGCTATAACTAGAATTGAATAACCTTGCATCTTCAAAACCTGGCTGCTTCCTGCTGGGGGAATCCTTTGTTGGGAGGTGTTAGCTGGCCCTGATTGTTTCCTGTCTGGAATTCCCCAGTTTTGTGAGTGTTATATGCAACAGACAAGACATTATTCCACAGATATATCAACCCCACTTGCCTAGTTTCCAACCTCAAAACCCCTGAGGATGCCTGCCGTAGATGTGGGTGAAACGTCAGGAGATAATGCTTCCGGAACACGGCCAGACAGCCCAGTAATACTCACAGCAACCCAATTAAATAGAGATCGTTGAGATGAATTGAACCCGCCTTCCCTTGGCGAAAAGAGGGGGTTCTCCACCCCATCTTCCTTGATCTCCCCAGTTCTGCTCTTTAGTCTGGTTCATCCTTTCCCTCCTTTCCTTTCTTCATTACACAAAGTAGCTCCTCCACGCTGCTCTATCCCTGCCCTATCCTTCCCCTCACCTCGAGTTAATGAGATTGTACTTTTTTTCTTACTGGGAAATGAAAATGTCTGTAACTGCTGTACAAATTGCTGTTGAAACAAACACACACGCACCCCTGAGCTGTTGAAAAAAATCCAAGCATTCTGCATGTGACTGACGTCCCACTCGCCACAGTTGTTGTCCTCAAAAGTGATGGTGGCACGTGGGTGCAGAGCACTCAAACACAAAAGCACACACACACACACACAGTCCCACCGCTCTTGGGTCGCCAGAGGACTTGCCGTGTCCCAGGAGGACACAAGAAACTTGGGGTTCTCCTGATTTGTTGAATTTTGATGCTTAGGGAACGGAGGATTGTATCACGTTTTCTTACCTTGTTCCTCGAGGCACTCCAAAGATTCTGGAATGGCTCATCCCCTTGCAGTGCTCATATACGCCTGTGCAGTCTGGTTGTGTCAAAGTGACATTGTACACCATGCAAATGTGTTGTCGAACGCTTTCATAGCCGGAATCACTGGGTTGTTGTAAGTTTGCTGTAAGTTTCTTGATGTTTCACCTGGATCTGTGGCAGGCATTCTCAGAGGTTGTGAGGTCTGTTGGAAACTAGGCAAGTGGGGTTTATATATCTGTGGAATGATGTCCAGGGTGGGAGAAAGAACTCTTGTCTGTTGGGGGTAGGTGTGAATGTTTCAATTGGCCACCTTGGTTAGCATTTAATGGCCTAGCAGTTTCAAGGTGTGGCTTCTTACTACCTGGGAGGTATCCTTTGTTGGGAGGTGATTAACTATCAGGGAAAATCCTTTGATGTTAGGTGATTACCTGTCTGGGGGAATCCTTTGTTGGGAGGTGATTAGCTGTCTGGGGGAATCCTTTGTTGAGAGTTGATTAGCTGTCTGGAGGAATCCTTTGATGGGAGGTGATTAGCTGTCTAGGGGAATCCTTTGTTGGGAGGTGATTAACTGTCTGGGGGAATCCTTTGTTGGGAGGTGATTAGCTATCTGGGGGAATCCTTTGTTGGGAGGTAATTAGCTGTCTGGGGGAATTCTTTGTTGGGAGTCGATTAGCTGTCTGGGGGAATCCTTTGTTGGGAGGTGATTAGCTGTCTGGGGGAATCCTCTGTTGGGAGGTAATTAGCTGTCTGGGGGAATCCTTTGTTGGGAGTCGATTAGCTGTCTGGGGGAATCCTCTGTTGGGAGGTAATTAGCTGTCTGGGGAATCCTTTGTTGGGAGTTGATTAACTGTCTTAAGGAATCCTTTGTTGGGAGGTGATTAGCTGTCTGGGGGAATCCTTTGTTGGGAGGTGATTAGCTGTTCAACAAAGGATTCCTCCAGGCAGTAAGAAGTCACCCTGGACATCATTCTAGAGAGATATATATACCCCGCTTGCCTAGTTTCCAACAGACCTCACAACCTCTGAGGATGCCTGCCATAGATGTGGGCGAAACGTCAGGAGAGAATGCTTCTAGAACATGGCCAGACAGCCCAGAAAACTTACAACAACCCATCATGCAAATATCGTGTGAAAGAGCTGGGAGATGTAGGATTGATATTGGATTCAGGTCTTCTCTCTAGCTACGGAAACTTATCTAGATGGGCAGCTTAACTAGCAGGGACCCTTTTTCCTCCCAGTGGATTGATGATCCCCCAAATGGAAGATGTAGTGCATCAAGGAAAGCATAGATTGCGTCCTATTTCTCCAAACTTTGTTCGTATGGAGCTTGGGTCAGAAGTAGAGCCCACAGTTGACCAGCTGTGCTGTATGCAAGCCTGTTAGATATGGAGGCAAAAAATTGGAAGGTAATAGTATTAGATGTAGGCCTAGTCAATCCATGGTTCTAAATGGTTCTAAAGTACTTACAAAACTAAAGTTCTGGTGGTGAAAATTTCAGAACTCTAACAAAAGTTGTAAAATTTCATTCTAAATGGCAGTTCCTAATTGGTTCTATCATAAAAACCACCAATAATGAAATAATAATTAAATTTTGAGAGTTTTGTTAGAGTTCTGCAATTTTCACCGCTAGGTGAAAATTTCAGAACTCTAACAAAACTCTCAAAAATTCATTATAAGTGGCAGTTCCTAATTGGTTCTATCATAAAAATCACCAATAATGAAATAATAATTAAATTTTGGGAATTTTGTTAGAGTTCTGAAATTTTCACCACCAGAACTTTAGTTTTGTAAGTACTTTAGAACCATTTAGAACCATGGATTGCTATGTATCTTGAAGGAATAAGGAGGGATACAAGAATGCCAGTTGTATTTTATTTAGCGGCAACACCTCCCGGCGGCTTCGGAGAGGGGGACCCCTTTCTCTTTCCCCTCTTTCAAGACCCTCCTCTCTGCACTGAAGGCCTTTGGCTCAGCTCTTACATCTGTTACGTTACTGCTGTGTTTGAATACCGTGAAGCGACCTCTTTGTGCCCGGCAGGCTTTTAAAATGGGAAACAAAACAAAAAAATTGACAGGAGAGAAAATGTACATAGACCGAGGGAACAATGAAGACTACTAATGAAGCTTGTGCGTTTGTGTGCGTTTGTGTGTACTGTGCGTGCAGCGTTAAATTATGGTCGTGCCAAGGGAATGGAAGAGACGAGGCTCAAGATGGAAAGACATACAATAAATGCAATTTGGTGTGGTATTATTAATAAAAGAGCACAAAGTCCAAACTCCAATGCTTTCCTTACCTGAGTTTTGTTCAGTGTGGGAAGGAGACTAGCACACATGGTGTGAGGAAGCCGTGTAATTATCAATATCAGTTTAGGAGCTGGATGCCAAGGGACCACTAATTAAGGAGCCCAAATCTTGATTCTTTATCAAAGAATCAGTCCTCCCTGTGGTTCTATCACTACAGGATTCCTGTTGGATTTCTCCTTCCACACAGGATCAGCTACCGCTGTAGTTCATGACTACAGATCATTTCCTTGATCCTCTCACTGGAGAATCCTCTCCTGTAACTCTGGTTACAGACTGCTGATTCACAGATCAGTCCTCTTCTGTAACTCTCCGGCTACAGACTACTGATTCACAGATCAGTCCTCTTCTGTAACTCTCCGGCTACAGACTGACAACTTTTAAAAAGCTGCGCTGCCAAGTGGCAGTTGGCAGTTGGCTTTGCCCCCGCTGCTATGGCAAGTCCGCTCAAGGCAAGCCAAGCCAGTTACCATCCCTAATAAAATACAATTCTACATACTTACCATTACTAACTATTGTCTAAACAATACATGACTATAGGAATAAAATTACACATCATCACACATGGTGTGTCAATGTTGGGGCTATAGGTGGACCTCGCCTAGTTTCCTTTCTGCTTTTTGCTCTTTCGAAACCAGCACTGACCACTTCTTGCCACCAGTTTATCCCAAAGCCTGGCATTTGATACAAGGGATCAATTGGGAAGCGGGACCATGCATTGCCTCTGAGGTTGAAGAGAGAAAGCCGTTGTATTACTATGGTTAAGCCTGATCTCTTGTTTCTGCCCTATTCCAGATGTGTTGAAGTCCAGTTCACATTAGCCATACCGCCGAGGAGTGATGGATATTTAATCAGTATTGAGAGAAAGGAAATGATGGGATATGATGTGATGGGCATCACTGAAGCCTGGTGGGTTGAGTCTCATTGGAATGTAGTAAGAGCAGTGGTTCCCAATTTTCTTTAATCAGGGACCACTTTGAATAGGGGCCACTTGACCAGGGGCCACTTTCACCAGGGACTACTTTTGACCAGGGACCACTTAGACCAGGGACCACTTTGGCCAGGGACTACTTTGACTAGGGAACACTTGATCAGTGACTACTTTGACCAGGGACCACTTTGGCCAGGGACTACTTTGACTAGGAACCACTTGATCAGTGACTACTTTGACCAGGGACCACTTGACCAGCAACTACTTTGACTAGGGAACACTTGTCCAGGAACTACTTTGACTAGGAACCATTTGGCCAGGGACTACTTTGACTAGGGACCACTTTCACCAGGGACTACATTTGACCAGGAACCACTTTGATTAGGGATCACTTTACCAGGGACCACTTGGACCAGGGACTCCTTTTGACCAGGGACCACTTAAACCAGGAACCACTTTGGCCAGGGACTTCTTTGACTAGGAACCACTTGATCAGTGACTACTTTGACCAGGGACCACTTGACCAGGAACTACTTTGACTAGGGACCACTTGACTAGGAACTACTTTGGCCAGGGACTGCAATGACTAGGGACCACTTTGACTAGGGAACACTTGACCAGGAACTACTTTGACTAGGGACCACTTGACCAGGAACTACTTTAAACAGAGACCACTTTGGCCAGGGATGACTTTGACTGGGAACCACTTGATCAGTGACTACTTTGACCAGGGACCACTTGACCAGGAACTACTTTGGCCAGGGACCACTTTGACTAGGGAACACTTGACCAGCAACTACTTTGACTAGGGAACACTTTACCAGGGACCACTTGACCAGGAACTACTTTGACTAGAGACCACTTGACCAGGAACTACTTTGACTAGGGACCACTTTCTCCAGGGACTACTTTGACTTGGGTTTACTCAAGCAGGGATTACTTGACCCGGAGCCACTTTTGACCAGGGACCACTTTAGTCATGGACCACAGGGGCCACTCTCCAACATTAGTATCAAAAGGATTTCAAATCACTTTTTCGCCAACTTTAAATTTGATTTGGTTATTTTGGGTGCTGATTCAGAAAATTGCATTGGATAGACCACATCTGCTCTAGTTTCTGATTCAGAACATGCCATCCAGTCGTCACCATCTGCCTGTCAGGAGGAAAACATATTTAATACGCTTGAGCACTAGAAGGGAGCTTCGCAAGACTAGTTGATCTCAATGCAACAGTGTAGTAACAGTGAGGCTGCGGACCATATTTTCGTTCTTGCGGGCCACTGGTGGTCCACGGACCACAGGTTGGGAACCATTGTGTTAAATAACTGGGAATGACGCATTCTTGGTCATTACTGTCAGTGAGCCGGCACTCTTCTTAGTAGATCCAGATTGACCTGCCAGTCTTTACTACTGCGTTTCTTGCACTGAGTTTGGGGTTGGACTAGATGACCCTTATGGTACCCTTTGAGCTTTATTCCTCCAACGATCTCAAAAGTGGGACACCAAGAACAGAAAGCCTTTTAGTCTCCAGGGTTGCATGTAAAATAGCATCACTTTAAAGGATTTATTTGGACAATAACCTGTTTTACAAAACGTAGTGCTTATATATATATACATATATAATAATAATAATATAATATTAATATAAAAAACACCCCAAATATTGATGCAAAACACCTTTTTCACAAGAAACACCAGACAAGGTTTCAACACAGCCACAAGGTCATCATCACAGGCATAATTGGGAAGTTACCTCGGAGTAGTTCACTGTTTTACAAGGAGAGAGACCAACAACGGAAGTCCCGACGGGATGGAAGGAGAGTGGGTTGACAAAAAGCAAAACGCATGAAGTGCAGAGAAGGATATCTCATGAATTCGATTTCTAGATAAGGATTGTTGTAGTGGATAGTAAGTGCAACATTCTAGACCTAGCTGTCTTCAGTGAGGAGAAGTCTTGTTGAAACATGCATGGTCCTCCTCTTCATGGGGTCCTTCATCGTCTGTTCCCCTCTCGGAAGTCCAGTTTGGGTTGGAGTATGATCAACAAGGCCAGTCAGAGACATTTGGAAGCCTTGGGGTGAAAACCCTCTCCAGTTTGGGTTGGAGTATGATCAACAAGGCCAGACAGAGACATTTGGAAGCCTTGGGGTGAAAATAAGATAACCACCTCTCTCTATTCCACAACTAGAAGCCAACTGGACCAGTAGTTGACAGGATGCACCCAACACCACCTTAGGTGTGTGGCCTCCAAAGCTATGGGGAACTCAGAAAGGCCAACTGTTCATCACCCAAGTGAAAAATCTTTGGGACGCCCAACCAATTTGTCCTACAGAGAGGTTGTTGCAGAGCTGAATTCCAAAACAAGAGGTCCACAGCTTCCTCCATCCAGCCTACAAATAGGAAGGACCTTCTCCAGCAATGTATACAAAGCTCCCTGAGATCTGACTGTGGAATCCATCTAATCAGCACCTCAAGAGGTTTTCCCCAGCCCTGTTAAGTGCCATCGGTCAAAAGCAGAGGTCTTCCCAGCCTTCCACAACCTGGTGCTGTCCAGATGTTTAGGAGCTCAGCTCCTGCAATACTTCACAATGGACAAAGTTCTCCTCCTCATGTTTTCGAGCAAGATTTCATCTAATAATGGAGAAGAAAAGAGCGAGCAAGCCCCCTTACCCTAATGTTGCTCTTTCTACCCATTCGGTTCTCCCATACTTAATGGCCACATGACCTTGGAGGTGTCTATGGACAATGCCGGTTCTTCAGCTTCTAAATGGAGATGAGCACCACTTACCAGAGTCAGACGCAACTAGACTTAACGTCAAGGGGAAACCCCAACCACAAAGTAAGGGGTTTGTCGGCAGAAAGACTTACAATAAGTGCAAAATAATTCATACCAAAATAATAAATTCTGGGACCAAGTTACATATGTTTGGAGCATCAATTTCCACATGGGATTAGGAGCTCAACATCTGGAGAGTCCCAAGGTTTCCAACACCAGCTCTCAATGAACCACAAAGAAGACTCTGAGCCAGTTTGTACTGTCAATAGCAACTAAAGCAATGGTTCTCAACCTGGGGTCCCCAGATGTTTTTGGCCTACAACTCCCAGAAATCCCAGCCAGTTAACCAGCTGTTAGGATTTCTGGGAGTTGAAGGCCAAAAACTTCTGGGGACCCCAGGTTGAGAACCACTGAACTAAAGGAACCTTTTCCTGGACTATGATATTATTGGTGGGATATAGAATACTTAACGGGGCTGCGGTGGTGCAGCAGCTTCAGCTGCTAAGCTACAGAACTTGCTTACCAGAAGGTCGGCACTTTGAATCTGCGGGGTGGGGTGAGCTCCCACTGTTAGGCCCAGCTTCTGCCAACTAGCAGTTCAAAAACATGCAAATGTGAGTAGATTAATAGGTACCGCTCTGGCAGGAAGATAACAGTGCTCCATGCAGTCATTCCCGTCACATGACTTTGGAGGTGTCTATGGACGACGTTGGCTCTTTGGTCACATGACCTTGGAGGTGACTATGGATGACACTGGCTCTTAGGTCACATGACTTTGGAGGTGACTATGGACGACGCTGGCTCTTCAGTCACATGACCTTGGAGGTGTCTATGGATGACGCTGGATCTTAGGTCACATGACCTTGGAGGTATCTATGGATGACGCTGACTCTTAGGTCACATGACCTTGGAGGTGACTATGGATGACACTGGCTCTTAGGTCACATGACCTTGGAGGTATCTATGGATGATGCTGGCTCTTAGGTCACATGACCTTGGAGGTGTCTATGGATGACGTTGGCTCTTTGGCCTAGAAATGGATATAAGCACCATCTCCCAGAGTCGGACATGAGCCGGGGTTGTCTGTAGACACCTCCAAGGTCATGTGGCCGGCATGACTGCATTTAGCACCGTTGCCTTCCCGTCGGAGTGGTACCTACTGATCTATTCACATTTACATGTTTTCAAACTGCTAAGGTGGCAGAAGCTGGGCCTAACCCTGCTCACTGGTTTTTAACCATCAACCTTTCAGTCAGCAAGTTCAGCAGTGCAGCGGTTTAACTCACTGCACCACTAGGGCCCCCAACATGGCAGCATACTAACCTCTAAAGCAGCGGTTCTCAACCTGTGGGTCGCGGCCCCTTTGGGGGTTGAATGACCCTTTCATAGGGTCGCGTAAGACCATCGGAAAACATAATTCAGCAGCTCAGCGGTTTAACCTGCTGCGCCACCCATCCAAATTAATAGAGCAACATGCTGGCTGGAAGTCCCGGAGATGCAGTCCTCACAAGGTCAATTTCCTAAGGGGCAGGCACTTAAAAAGAGGTAAAGGATCACAAGGTGAACGTACCGCTACTTTTAGGCAGAGATGGAGGAACTGTACAACTCCCATCATCCCTGTCATGCAACAAGAGACATCTTCAAACCAAGGACTAAAGGGCTTCTGAAGGAGACCCACTACTGGGGAGAAGAAAGGATGGGAGTGAAAAGGGGGCAAGAGGCAGAGATGGGTAGTTGTGGCCCTCCATCAACCCCAACTGTAAGGGATAATGGGAGTTCCGATCCAACAACAGTTGGGGCACAAGGTATCCAGACCTTTATTGACATTAATTCCTATCTATTCACCCTAATCCAGATTCTCAGGTGCCACATTTTGGGGGAACCTGCCCCAAAATGACTGTTCAAAGCTGGCCTCTTCCACGAAGAGTAGAAGAATCCAGACATGCCTGGAAAAGACAGTTTCAGGGTGGGATCAAGGGTTTTCAAATGCAGAGCCATCTACCATACATACTTGAAGATAAGATGAGTTTTTCCAGACCTTTTTATGTCTTGAAAAATCCTCCCTAGACTTATAAAGGGGTCAAGCCCGCCAGCGGAGCCTGGAGGCCATTGCTTGCAATCTATGATCTATTTCTCTCTCTTCTTCCCCTCCCTAAACAATGTGTTTTCTTTTCTGCTTCTCCTGGAGGCCATTGCTTGCAATCTATGATCTATTTCTCTCTCCTCTTCCCCTCCTTACACAGTGTGTTTTCTTTTCTGCTTCTCCTGGAGGCCAMTGCTTGCAATCTATGATCTATTTCTCTCTCCTCTTCCCCTCCCTACACAGTGTGTTTTCTTTTCTGCTTCTCCTGGAGGCCATTGCTTGCAATCTATGATCTATTTCTCTCTCCTCTTCCCCTCCCTAAACCGTGTGTTTTCTTTTCTGCTTCTGCTCTGCTGCTCCTCCCAGGCAGGAATGTTTTGAAAAGGGAAAGGAGGGGGAGAGAAGCCCTTGCAAGTCAGGAAGATTAATTAATCTTATCAAAGCATTTCCCCCTGAAATATTTGTTAATCTCTCCTAAAGATATATAGGCATTTCCCCCTACAAGCCTTTGCAATCCCTATGTACCTATATATCTGTATCTATCTATATTAATTTTATATATAAATTTCCCCCTCATATCTTTGCAAATCCTATATACATATAAATACCTAGATTTCCATGTACCTGTATACCGCTATCTAGATGTATACATAATTTTTATATATCAATTTTCCCCTCATGTTTGCAAATCTTATATAGATATAGATATCAATAAATATATAGAGCTACCTATATATCTGTATGTCTGTACGTGTGTATATAAAAATAATTTTATACATGAATTTCCCCCTCACAATTGCAAATCTCCTATATAGATATTTAGATAAATATAGAGATACCTATATATCTATATAAATATAGAGAGATACCTATATATCTATATATCTCTCTGTGTGCGTATACATAATTTTATATATGAAGTTTTCCCTCACATGTTTGCAAGCCGCTGCAAATCCTATATATAGATATCAGTAAATATATAGAGGTACCTATATATCTGTATATCTCTCTGTGTGTATGTGTGTGTATAACTTTATATATGAATTTTCCCCTCACATGTTTGCAAGTCTTTGCAAAGCCTTTATAGATATTATTATCTATATAGGATTTGCAAAGACTTGCAAACACGTGAGGGGAAAAATCATATATAAAATTATATAATTATCTATATAGAGAGGGATGTTTAGATAGATATATATGAATATAGATATATAGGGCTTGCAAATATTACAGGGGGAAATGCACACACAAATATATATCTAGACATGTCTAGATAGATATGAATATAGATATATAGGACTCGCAAATATTGGAGGGGGAAATGCACACACAAATATATATATAGAGAGGAATGTCTAGATAGATATAAACATATAGGGCTTGCAAATATTGCAGGGAGGAAATACACACAGAAATATATATAGACATGTCTAGATAGATATGAATATAGATATATAGGGCTTGCAAATGGGGAAATGCACACGTACATATATAGAGAGATGTCTAGATAGATATAAACAGATATATAGGGCTTGCAAATATTCCAGGGGAGAAATGCACACACAAATATAAATAGACATGTCTAGATAGATATGAATATAGATATATAGGGCTTGCAAATATTGCATGGGAAACACATGCACAAATATATATATATATATATATATATATATATAGAGAGAGAGAGAGAGAGAGAGAGAGAGAGAGAGATGTCTAGATATATATGAATATAGATATATAGGGCTTGCAAATATTTCAGGAGGGAAATGCACGCACACACATATATAGAGAGATGTCTAAATAGATGTAAACATAGATATATAGGGCTTGCAAATATTGCAAGAGGGAAATGCACATAGAGATAGGATTTGCACACATTTCAGCAGGAAATGCATATGTGAAATTAGTATACAACTATATAATTATAGTTCTATATCTAGCTCTGCATTGTTTATTTAGGTACTGAATGTTTGCCTGTTACTATGTTGGAAGCTGGCCTGGATATTATTATTATTATTATTATTATTATTATTATTATTATTATTATTATGATGTTATTGTTGATACCATATTGGTTTTGTTGACCCTACTTTTCCACCTACAGAGCTAGTTTCCTGTTTTTCTTTGAAATATGGTAAATATTAAAAAATATTTAACGTCCTGATGTCTCAATTAATGTAATTTTATTGGTATCTATTTTTATTTTGAAATTGACCAGTAGCTGCTATATTTACCACCCTCGACTTATACTCGAGTCAATAAGTTTTCCCAGGTTTTTGTGGCAAAATTAGGGCCTCGTCTTATATTCGGGTCAGCTTATACTCAAGTATATACGGTAATGGCAAAGCACACGTTCTGTGAGTAGGATACACTCCCTTCTTCTGGATTTAATAGTTGCTAAGAAAGGTAAGCTAACCACTTCTGCAGACCTGTAGTAAGCCAGGTGTAAATCCACTACGCTCCTGAGAACAACAGCCAAGGGATAAAGATGAGCCAAAATGAAGACCACCAGAGTATCCTTGATCAAGAAATCCATGGCCGAGACTACAATGGCCATCATCACATGTCATTCCCCATGCTGGCTGAGATATCCTGAAATTCAAGACTGATGGAAGGCCTTGCAGGACTGAACACAAAAGGTTTCAGTTTCATAAAAGAGGAGCAGAATCCGCTCAACCAGAACATGCAAATTAAAATGCGTGTCTATCACTACGCAACACAAAACAAACAAACAAAACTTTTGGGTTGGTGCGAATTTTCCGGGCAGTCTGGCCATATTCCAAAAGCATTCTCTCCTGACATTTTGCCCACATCGATGGCATCCTCTGAGGTTGTGAAGTCTGTTGAAAACTACACAAGTTGTGTTTAATATATCTGTGGAATGATGCCCAAGGTGGGAGAAAGAACTCTTGTCTGTTGGAAGCAAGTGTGACTGTTGCCATTGGCCACCTTAATTAGCATCGAATGGCCTTGCAGTTCCAAAGCTTGGCTGCTTCCTGCCTGGGGGAATCCTCACAACCTCTGAGGATGCCTGCCATAGATGTGGGCAAAACGTCAGGAGAGAATGCTTCTGGAACATGGTCAGACAGCCTGGAAAACTCACAGCAACCCAGAGATTCTGGCCATGAAAGCCTTCGACAACACAAAGAGAACTTCCCTGGCATCGGCCCCAATCCTTCCAGTTGCAGAAACATTACAATTGGGAATTCCGAGACTCTGCTTGTCCGTATTGGGAGGCAATGGGAGAAGAGATTACACTGTGTACTTTGTTTTTTCTGTCACCGCAGGGCAATCTGGATGCATGGCTACACTGTACATATGGACAAATTACACCCGAATGCCATTTTCCCCATTTCTTGGATGTCTGGCTTGACGTCTCGGGGCTCGGTGGCGGGGCTGGCGGTGGCAGATGTGGCCCCAGGGTTTGGCCTGGCTTCCCGGCGGTTTGGCCCCATCTCGTTCTCGGCGTAAGCCTCGAGGATGGTCTGCTTCTCCAGCTCGGTGTAGCCCAGCGAGAAGCGGTGCACCTGAAGGATGTGCCGCTTGATGGTGCTGACCTTGAGAGTGGCCAAGGTGCCCCCGCACACCATGCAAATCAGGCCGTGGCGCTGCTCGTCGTAGTCCATGAGGTACTCCTCCCGCCAGCGAGGCTGGTAGTTCCGACGCTGCCACCTCCGGGATGGGGTCCCCGCCGGCAGAGATACGGCCTCCGGGGAGGGTTGGGAGGGAGCCAACCTGCCTCCCGCCGGCCCTTCCTCTTCCTCCTCTTCCGCTCCTGTGGATGTTGCCGCATCTTCTCGGTGTTCTTTGGGCTCTAAGGGTGGCTCGCGGTCCTGCTGTGGTTCCGCTGCAAAGACATAATAATAATAATAATAATAATAATAATAATAATAATAATAATACTTTATTTATTTATTTATTTATTTTTTATTTACCTTACTTATATACCGCTGTTCTCAGCCCGAAGGTGACTCACAGCGGTTCACAACAAATACGAACAGCAAAAATTCAGTGCTACAGTATAGAAACAGTTAACAACCTAACACATTACACAATAAACAGTCACTACAATACCCATTCACTGTCGTCTCGTCATCAAAAACATGTTCCAGATTCGTCATCCATTGTTCCATTCCAGTGTTCATTAACCAATCATTGCACTAATTATTGGAACGCCTGCTCAAACAGCCAGGTCTTCACCTTTTTGCGGAATACCATTAGAGATGGTGCTAGTCTAATGTCGGTAGGAAGGGCGTTCCACAGCCAAGGAGCCACCACCGAGAAGGCCCTATCTCTTGTCCCCGCCAGCCGAGCTTGAGAAGCAGGCGGGATCGAGAGCAGGGCCTCCCCGGAAGATCTCAAAGTCCGGGTGGGTTCATAGGCAGAGATGCGGTCGGATAGGTAACTTGGGGCCGAACCGTTTAGGGCTTTAAAGGCCAACGTCAGCACTTTGAATTCAGCCCGGTAGCAGATGGAATTGGCGCAACAGGGGGGTTGTATGCTCCCTGCGCTCCGCTCCTGTTAAAATCATGGCTGCCGAGCGTTGGACTAGTTGGAGCTTCCGAGCTGTCTTCAAAGGCAACCCCACGTAGAGAGCGTTGCAGTAGTCTAGACGGGATGTAACCAGAGCGTGGACTACCGTGGCCAAGTCAGACTTCCCAAGGTACGGGCGCAGCTGGCGCACAAGCTTAAGCTGTGCAAATGCTCCCCTGGTCACCGCCGAAACCTGGGGTTCCAGGCTCAGTGATGAGTCCAGGGCCACACCCAAGCTGCGAACCTGCGTCTTCAGGGGGAGTGCGACCCCATCCAACACAGGCTGTAACCCTATGCCCTGTTCGGCCTTGCGACTGACCCCGCTACCATCTCCCCAAGGGACTCGGTGCAGCTTACATGAGGCCGAGCCCACAATACATCAATACAAGCAATAAAACCATAATACAAAGCAAAATACAAATACTAATACAAAGCAATCAAAATAAATCTCATACATAAATAGCATAAACATTGAACAATAGCACAACACACATTTAAAATCTATGGCTGGGCCAAATGTAATTAAAAATTTAAAAATAATGCTGGCCATGAACAAGATAGAGGAGGTGGGGCGTTGGTGGAAACGTACTAAATCAGTATAAAGTGTTTTTAGAGGACACAATGCTAAGGGATCATTATTCTGGGAAGGCACACTGGAACAACCACGTTTTGAGCTCCTTCTAAAGACTGCCAGAGTTGGGGCATGCATGATGTCCTTAGGAAGTGAGTTCCAGAGTCGAGGGGCCACCACCGAGAAGGCCCTCTCTCTCGTCCCCACCAATCGCGCTTGCAATGTAGGTGGGAGCGCGAGTAGAGCCTTTCCAGATGATCAGAGAGATTGTGTGGGTTCGTAATGCGGTCACGCAGGTAGGAGGGTCCCAAACCGTTCAGAGCTTTGTAGGTAAGAACCTGCACCTTGAATTGGGACCGGAAAATGAACGGCAGGCAATGGAGATCCTTAAACAGGAGGGTTGACCTCTCTCTGTAAGGAGCGCCAGTTAACAACCTGGCCGCCGCCCGTTGTACCAGCTGAAATTTCCGGGCCATTTTCAAGGGCAGTCCCACATAGAGCGCATTACAGTAGTCCAATCGGGAGGTGACTAAGGCATGGACCACCCTGGCCAGATCCGCCTTCACGAGGTACGGTCGCAGTTGGTGCACGAGTCTTAATTGTGCGAAGGCCCTCCTGGCCACCGCCGATGCCTGATGAGTCCAGGAGGACACCCAAACTGTGGACCTGTGACTTCAGGGGGAGTGCAACCCCATCCAGCACAGGTTGCCACCCTATACCCCGATCCGGTTTACGATCGACCAGGAGGACCTCTGTCTTGCCGGGATTGATCTTCAGCTTGTTCGTCCTCATCCAGACAGACACAGCGGCCAGGCACTCGTCCAGCACTCGAGGGGCTTCCTTGGAGTTAGGTGGGAAGAGTAGTAGAGTTGCGTGTCATCTGCATAGAGATGGTACCCAACTCCAAAACTCCGGATGACCTCTCCCAGCGGTTTCATGTAGATGTTAAAAAGCATGGGAGATAGAATGGAGCCTTGCGGGACCCCACAGGTCAAAGGCCAGGGGTCCGAGCTGGCGTCTCCCAGCTTCACCAACTGGGATCGACCCTCCAGGAAGGACCGGAGCCACGACAAGGCCGTGCCCCCAAGACCCATCCCGGAGAGTCATCCCAGAAGGATGCCATGATCGATGGTATCGAAAGCCGCTGAGATGTCCAAGAGAACCAACAAGGTCACACTCCCCCTGTCCAGCTCCCTGCGGAGGTCAGTTCCTTTTATTGCAATTTTCCAGTATGAGGAGGGGTATCAGGACTTTGACATACAGATTCTATGTAAGTAAATTGAATTCGCAAACAACAGGGAAAAAAATCGGCAACCTCAAGCTCAGTACCAGTTAAGGTACCCCTTCGGCGGGAAAAGCCAAAGAGATGCTCCGAGCAATCTTGCCGGCCACACAACCAGGAGGTGACAACGCAGGCTCCTCAGCTTGAAAATGGAGAAAAGCACCTCGCCAGAGCCAGAGATAAGCACTGCCTCCAGAAGCCGGAAATGAAAGGAGAAGCCTCTGCCTTTATTTGTGTTTGTGTGTCTCATTGTATACGACTGTAAAGGCACTTGTTGGAAATGTTACAAATTAATTAGGTATTTTTAATTACAAAAATGCGAGTCAAGCTCTGAAAGGGTTAGAGGCAAAGTTCTGTATAAGCAGGTGTACATGCAGCTTAGTAGCCATCAGTCTGAGATAAACCTCAGTGTGAGAAAGTCCTCAGTCTGTGAGAGAAGGCCTCGTGCTGTGAGGCAGGCCTTAGTCTGTGAGAGAAGGCATCACAGTGTGAGATAGGCCTTAGTCTGTGAGAGAAGGCATCACAGTGTGAGATAGGCCTTAGTCTGTAGAAGGCCTCACAGGGTGAGGTAGGCCTTAGTGTGAGAGAGAAAGCATCAACGTGTGAGGTAGGCCTTAGTCTGTGAGAGGAGGCCTCACAGTGTGAGGTAGGCCTTAGTCTGGGAGAAGGCATCACAGTGTGAGGCAGGCTGTAATCTGTGACAGAAGGTCTCACAGTGTGAGGTAGGCCTTAGTCTGTGACAGAAGACCTCACAGTATGAGGTACGCCTTGGTCTGTGAGAGAAGGCCACAAAGCATGAGGTAGGCCTTAGTCTGTGAGAGAAGGCCTCACAGGGTGAGGTAAGCCTTAGTGTGTGAGAGAAAGCATCCAATTGTGAGGTACGCCTTAGTCTGTGACAGAAGGCCTCACAATGTGAGGTAAGTTTAGTCTGTGACAGAAGGCCTCACAGTGTGAGATAGGCCTTAGTCTGTGACAGAAGGCATCATAGTGTGAGGTACGCCTTATTTGTGACAGAAGGCCTCACAGTGTGAGGTAGGCCTTAGTGTGAGAGAGAAAGCATCAAAGTGTGAGGTAGGCCTTAGTTTGTGAGAGAAGGCCTCACAGGGTGAGGTAAGCCTTAGTGTGTGAGAGAAAGCATCCAAGTGTGAGGTAGGCCTTAATCTGTGACAGAAGGCCTCACAGTGTGAGGTAAACTTAGTTTGTGAGAGAAGGCCTCACAGTGTGAGGTAGGCCTTAGTGTGTGAGAGAAAGCATCAAAGTGTGAGGTAGGCCTTAGTCTATGAGAAGGCGTAGTGTGAGAAGCTTTGGTGAGAGAAGCTCCAGATTGAAGGCTCTGTGTGTAAAGCTACTGTGTAAAGTTCCTGTGTAAGTTCGGTGTGAGAGGAAGCTCTATGAGAGCAAAGCTGTTTATCTGAATGCAGAAGAAGCCCAGCATGGAAGCAAAGAAGGAAGTATAAAGGACTTTATTTGGATCATATGTCGGACTCTTCCCAAGTGTTTAGGACTGTGTCATGTATTGGCGAATAATGCGTGCAGATGGTGGCCTTCTGCAGCTGGCAGATGGTAATTTTGTCAGCACCGATTGTGTTTAAGTGTAGGCCAAAGTCTTGAGGCACTGCACCCAGTGTGCCAATCACCACTGGGATTATATTATTATTATTATTATTATTATTATTATTATTATTATTATTATTTAGGAGAATTGTTACAAGGGATGGAATGAACCGCTCGACTCCTGCCTTCTCACCTTTGGGTTCCTCGGCGTCCATTTCGGGCGGGGAGTCTTCCGCGTCGGCCAGGCGGGCGACTTTCTGGCTCCACTCCTGGACAATGAGGGCCTTGACCTGGTGGCTCAGGCGCATGGAGTCTGGGTGCTTCTGCTGGATGTGCCGCTTGATGGTGCTCATCTTGAGGGTGGCTAGGGAGCTCCCGCACACCATGCACACCAGCCCGTGGCGCAAGCCGTTGTAGTCCATCAGGTACTCCACCCGCCAGTGTTCCTGGAAGTAGCGGCGGTGGTCCCGGCCGCGGGACGGAGCCGGGGGGCTGCTCCCTTCCGAGTCCCAAAGGCCGGCCTCTTCGGAGCCGTCCTCGTCGGCGGGGTGGTCAGGAGACGCGGGGACGTCCTTCACGCGCAGGTCCTGCGGGGAGGGCTCCAAGCCGGCCTCTGGGTTGGTGGGAGCGGGCAGCAGTGGTGGAAAGGGTGGGTTTAATATCTTGGTTTTATTCTATGCCTACCTTCCCCTACCTGGCTGTCCCCCCAGGCATTTCAAATCACAGCTCCCATGGAGCCCGTGGGCTGCTAGGAATGGTGGGAGTTGTAATCCAAAACACTTGGAGGGCTGAAGCCTCCCCATGCGCGATCTACATGATAGAATCAATACAGTTTGACACCAGTGTTGACTGCTATGGCCAAATGCCATGGAATCATAGGAGTTGTAAGGAGCCTCCAATGGCACAATGGATTAAACTCTTGTGTCAACAGGACTAAAGACCGACAGGTTGGAGGTTCAGATCCAGGGAGAGCGTAGATGAGCTCCCTCTGTCAGCTCCAGCTTCCCATGCAGGGACATGAGAGAAACCTCCCACAAGGATGGGAAATCATCGAAAACATCCAAGTGTCCTCTGGGCAATGTCCTTCTCACACCAGAAGCGGCTGACACACACAAAAAAAGGAGCTGTAGCTTTACAAGGTCTGTAGCACAGCAGGTTAATCACCAAGCTGCAATAAAGCTTGCCAACCTGCAGGTTGAGAGTCTGAAGCCCAGGTCAGGGTGAGCTCCTGACCTGTAGTCCAGCTTCTGCTTACCTAGCAGTTCGAAAACTGTAGATAAATATTGTGGTATTGTATCGTGGTTGTTATTGCTTGTATTGATGTATTGTGCGCTTGGCCTCATGCAAGCCGCACCGAGTCCCTTGGGGAGATGGTAGCGGGGTATAAATAAAGTATTATTATTATTATTATTATTATTATTATTATTATTATTAGGTACCATGTTAAAGCAGGGAGGTATTTAGGCAGAAAAAAAGAGGAAGTTTACTTGTCTTTACTAATAATATAGTATATTGTATAAACATATAATATTTATATTATAATGTAATACAATATAATACTAGTAATAATAATACAATATTATAATTATTATATATTTACATGACATGTAATATTACTAATAATATTACAATATAATGGTATAGTGCAATATAGTAATATATAATACTGATATTGTACTATGCTAATAATATAATATATTGTATGTATATATCTATATCTTGTAAGCTGCTCTGAGTCCCCTTCGGGGTGAGAAGGGCAGCATAAAAATGCCGTAAATAATAAATAAATAATAATTTACGAACAAAGAAAGCTCTTTGGCAAGGAGATGGAGCAACACCACCCTCTTGTGGCCGGAACTGAGAACAGCCTCCAAAGATGCCGAAAGATGGGAAAGCCAATATATACCTCTTCTCTGTTGTCTGTCTTGTCATATAGAATCGGCATTGAATGTCTGCTGTATATGTTATCCGCCCTGAATCCCCTTTGGGGTGAGAAGGGTAGTATATACATATTGTAATAAATAAATAAAGATATAGAATGGGGGACAATGCCTGGCTCGAGAGCAGTATGTGTGAAAAAGATCTTGGAGTCCTCGTGGACAACTAGTTAAACATGAGCCAACAATGTGATGTGGCGGCAAAAAAAGCCAACGGGATTTTGGCCTGCATCAATAGGAGCATAGTGTCTAGATCTAGGGAAGTCATGCTCCCTATGCTCGATTCCGCTTTGGTTAGACCACACCTGGAATATTGTGTCCATTTCTGGGCACCACAATTCAAGAGAGATAGTGAAAAGCTGGAATGTGTCCAGAGGAGGGTGACTCAAATGATCAAGGATCTGGAGAACAAGCCCTATGAGGAGCGGCTTAAGGAGCTGGGCATGTTTAGCCTGAAGAAGAGAAGGCTGAGAGGAGATATGATAGCCATGTATAAATATGTGAGAGGAAGCCACAGGGAGGAGGGAGCAAGCTTGTTTTCTGCTTCCCTGGAGACTAGGACAAGGAACAATGGCTTCAAACTACAAGAGAGGAGATTCCAGCTGAACATGAGGAGGAACTTCCTGACTGTGAGAGCCGTTCAGCAGTGGAACTCTCTTTAATGTCCCTGGCAAGCCTGAGCCCGTTTTGTGCTTTACCCTTGCAAACCTTCTCCCTAAAAGAGTTGGCTATTTGTTTGAATTCTTCTTTGGTGATTTCTCCCTTTTTCCACTTCTTGTGTATGTCTCTTTGGAGTCTCAGATTATTTGATTAATCTATTTTAGGAAGAACTTCCCAACTATAAGGAGAGCTGTTCAGCAGTGGAACTCTCTGCCCCGGAGTGTGGTGGAGGCTCCTTCTTTGGAAGCTTTTAAACGGGCTGGATGGCCATCTGTCAGGGGTGATTTGAATGCAATATTCCTCCTTCTTGGCAGAATGGGGTTGGACTGGATGGCCCATGAGGTCTCTTCCAACTCTTTGATTCCATGACTCTATGAGTGTTCTTCACATTACAAAACTACAACTCCCAGAATTCCATTGTAGTGAGCCATGGCTGTTACATTACATGGATTCTATAATGTAGATCACCCAATGCCTTCCATAAGTACTGGACTACAATCCCCTTCATCCTCCAACCAGATGCACATCCCGCCACTGCAATCCAGCAAGTGTAGAGGAATCGGGATGGGGAAAGGCAATTTTAGATATGCAAACTCATAAATCCGTCAAAAACTTACTTGGTTAATGGACAAAAATGCTTTTAAATCTATGAAAGCTGGTCTTCTGGGTTTCCAAAACATATTTGACCCCTTTCAAGGCCATTGGTGTGCTGTTTTCCCCGCCTCCCTCCTGCCCCCCTTTGCCCCGCTTTCCATCTCACCCACTGAGACCTCCTCCTCTGTCTCCTCTTCTTCCTCCTCCTCCTCCTCCTCATCTTCCTCCTCCTCCTCCTCCCCTGCATTCCTGCCCTTGGCGGCCAGTGCGGACACACGGGAGTTCCACGCCTCCAGGATGGCGGCTTTCTCGGCGGAGCTGAAGCCCAGGGAGCTGGGGTGGGCGTCCATGACGTGGCGCTTGATGTCGTCCAGGTTGAGGCTGGGCAAGGAGGAGCCGCACATCATGCAGAAGAGCTGGTTCCCTTGCGGGTCGTAGTCCATCAGGAACTCGGACTGGAACCAGCTTTGGAGGGACTCCTTCAGGTAGCGCTCCAAGCTCCGGGCTTCTCCTTCCGAGGAGACCTTCAGCGCCAGGCTGGGTGGTCGATGTCCCACACGAGAGGAGAGGGGTCCTGGGACACGCCGCCTCCTCCGGCCTCGGCCAAAGGACTGGTCTCCCCCTGCGAGGAAAGACAGACAGGGTGAATCTTCTCCTTACATCCAAAATCAGAGCCCACAAGGCCATCCAGTCCAACCCCATATTCTGCCAAGCAGGAAGACACAATTAATGCCCTCCCAACCAATGGCCATCCAGCCTCTGCTTAATAATAATAATAATAATAATAATAATAATAATAATAATAATAATAATAACAACAGAGACCTAGAGTTGTGAGAGACCGCAGTGGCCATCCAGTCCAACACCATTCTGCCAGGCAAGAAGGCACAATCAAAGCCCTCCTGACAGATGGCCATATAGCCTCTGAATAATAATAATAATAATAATAATAATAATAATAATAATAACGGAGACCTAGAGTTGTGAGAGGCCGCAATGGCCATCCAGTCCAACCCCATTCTGCCAGGCAAGAAGACACAATCAAAGCCCTCCTGACATGGCCATCCAGCCTCTGAATAATAATAATAATAATAATAATAATAATAATAATAATAATAATAGAGACCTAGAGTTGTGAGAGACCGCAATGGCCATCCAGTCCAACCCCATTCAGCCAGGCAAGAAGACACAATCAAAGCCTTCCTGACAGATGGCCATATAGCCTCTGAATAATAATAATAATAATAATAATAATAATAATAATAACAACAGAGACCTAGAGTTGTGAGAGACCGCAGTGGCCATCCAGTCCAACCCCATTCTGCCAGGCAAGAAGACACAATCAAAGCCTTCCTGACAGATAGCCATCCAGCCTCTGAATAATAATAATAACAATAATAATAATAATAATAATAATAATACATCACACAGTCCTAGACACCTGGGAAGTGTCCGACATGTGATCCAATACAACAGCCAGCAGAGTGATCTTGTTTACTGTGGACTCACCTTGTTGTGTTTCAAATAATAATAATAATAATAATAATAATAATAATAATAATAATAATAATAACAGAGACCTAGAGTTGTGAGAGAACGCAGTGGCCATCCAGTCCAACCCCATTCTGCCAGGCAAGAAGACACAATCAAAGCCCTCCTGATAGATGGCCATCCAGCCTCTGAATAATAATAATAATAATAATAATAATAATAATAATAATAATAATAATAATAAGAGACCTAGAGTTGTGAGAGACCGCAGTGGCCATCCAGTCCAACCCCATTCTGCTAGGCAAGAAGACACAATCAAAGCCCTCCTGACAGATGGCCATCCAGTCCAACCCCATTCTGCTAGGCAAGAAGACAAAATCAAAGCCCTCCTGACAGATGGCCATCCAACCTCTGAATAATAATAATAATAATAATAATAATACATCACACAGTCCTAGACACTTGGGAAGTGTCCGACGTGTGATCCAATACAACAGCCAGCAGAGTGATCTTGTCTGTTGTGGACTCACCTTGGTGTGTTTCAAGTAGTAGTAATAGTAGTAGTAGTAGTAGTAATAATAATAATAATAATAATAATAATAATAATAGAGACCTAGAGTTGTGAGAGACTGCAATGGCCATCCAGTCCAACCCCATGCAGCCAGGCAAGAAGACACAATCAAAGCCCTCCTGACAGATGGCCATCCAACCTCTGAATAATAATAATAATAATAATAATAATAATAATAATAATAGACCTCACTGCCTCTGAGGATGCTTGCCATAGATGCAGGCGTAACGACAGGAGAGAATGCCTCTAGAACAGTGGTTCTCAACCTTCCTAATGCCATGACCCCATAATACACTTCCTTGAGTTTTGGAGTTGTAGTTCACCTACATCCAGAGAGCACTGTGGACTCAAACAATGATAGATCTAGACCAAACTTGGCACGAATTCTCAGTATGCCCAAATGAGAAAACTGGTGGAGTTTGGGGGAAACAGACCTTGACATTTGGGAGTTATAGTTGCTGGGATTTGTAGTTCACCTACCATCAAAGAGCATTCTGAACCCTACCAATGATTGAATTGGACCAAACTTCCCACACAGAACCCCCATGACCAACAGAAAATACTGTTTTCTGATGGTCTTTGGCGACTCCTCTGACACCCCCTTGTGACCCCTCCAGGGTCCCGACCCCCAGGTTGAGAATCACTGCTCTAGAACATGGCCATATAGCCGGAAAAAACCTACAACAACCCTGTGATTCCGGCCATGAAAGCCTTCGACAATACATAATAATAATAATGATAATGATAATCATCATCATCCCAGTTTGCCCATGCCTGCTGTCTCTGATCCCCTTGTCCCTCCTACCGTGGCTCCTCTGCTGAGTGTCGGAGGCTTCGGCCGAGTCCCGGACCCCTTCCGCCTCCGTCTCGAGCCCCAAGTGGGCATCCCAGCTGTTCATTATGACCTCCTTCTCGTGGGCGCTCCACGCCAAGGAGTACGGGTGCTTCTGCCGGATGTGCCGCTTGATGGTGCTGAGCTTGAGGGTGGCCAGCGAACTCCCGCAAACCATGCAAATCATGCCGTGCCGCGCGGCATTGAAGTCCATCAGGTACTCGGCCCGCCAGTGCTCGTGATAGTAGCGGCGGTGGTCCCGGCCAGGGATACGACTCTTGCCGGGTCTCGAGGCCCGTTCTTCACAATGGTCGGAGTACTTCCTCCCGCCAACAAGGAGCGCAGAAGGATCCTTGGCATGGCCTCGCAGTAAGCCCTTCCCGGCTGGCCACAAGGGATGCCCAGAGCTCAACTCGACGTGGGAATCGTGTTGAAGCTCTTCTGCTGGGACACAAACACTTGGCTTACATAACAACACAACAACAACAACAACAACAACAAGCAGATTCAATGCCATGCTGGGGCTGGCTGGGGCATAAATAGCAAATGTGTGTGCTAGGGTTTGCCTTGGGCACCTTCCACAGAATCCAGATTATCAAAGTCGATAATCTACTTGATCCACTTTAAAATAGATTAAATGAGTCTACATTGCCATATAATTCATTTCAGATCAGATAATCTGGATTATATGCCAGTGTAGAAGGGGCCTCACTCCTGAAAGAGTTATAGTAGAAGTGGATCCACTTGATGCACTTTAAAATGGATTAAATGAGTCTACATTAACATATAATTCATTTCAAATACGATAATCTGGATTATATATGACAGTGTAGAAGGGGTTTCATTCCTGAAAGAGTTATAATGGGAAAAGTAGATGCACCTGATCCACTTTAAAATGGATTACATGAGTCTACACTACCATATAATCCATTTCAGATTGGATAATCTGGATTATATATGCCAGTGTATAAGGGGCCTCACGCCTGAAAGAGTTATAATAATAATAATAATAATAATAATAATAATAATAAGAAGAAGAAGAAGAAGAAGAAGAAGTTATAATGGGAAAAGTGGATCCACTTGATCCACTTTAAAATGGATTAAATGAGTCTACGCTACCATATAATCCATTTCAGATTGGATAATCTGGATTATATGTGAGTGTATAAGGGGCCTCACACCTGAAAGAGTTGTAATAATAATAATAAGAAGAAGAAGAAGTTATGATGGGAAATGTGGATCCACTTGATCCACTTTAAAATGGATTAAATGAGTCTACATTACCATATAATCTATTTCAGATAGGATAATCTGGATTATATATGCCAGTGTATAAAGGGCCTCGCTCCTGAAAGAGATATAATGGGAAAAGTGGATTCACGTGATCCACTTTAAAATGGATCAAATGAATCTACACTACCATATAATCCATTTCAGATTGGATAATCTGGATTATATGCCAGTGTAGAAGGGGCCTCATACCTGAAAGAGTTATAATAATAATAATAATAATAATAATAATAATAATAATAATAAGTTATAATGGGAAAAGTGGATCGACTTGATCTACTTTAAAATGGATTAAATGAGTCTACATTGTCATATAATTCATTTCAGATTGGATAATCTGGATTATAGATGCCGGTGTAGAAGGGGCTTCATTCCTGAAAGAGTTATAATGGGAAAAGTGGATCCACTTGATCCACTTTAAAATGGATTAAATGAGTCTACACTACCATATAATCCATTTCCGATCAGATAATCTGGATTATATATGCCAGTGTAGAAGGGGCCTCACTCCTGAAAGAGTTATAATGAGAAAAGTGGATCCACTTGATCCACTTTAAAATGGATTAAATGAGTCTACACTACCATATAATTCATTTCAGATTGGATAATCTGGATTATATATGCCAGTGTATAAGGGGCTTCATTCCTGAGTTATAATGGGAAAAGTGGATCCACTTGATCCATTTTAAAATGGATTAAATGAGTCTACACTACCATATAAACCATTTCAGATTGGATAATCTGGATTATATATGCCAGTGTATAAGGGGCCTCACTCCTGAAAGAGTTACAATGGGAAAAGTGGATCCACTTGATCCACTTTAAAATGGATCAAATGAGTCTACACTACCATATAATCCATTTCATATTGGATAATCTGGATTATATATGCCAGTGTATAAGGGGCCCCACTCCTGAAAGAGTTATCATGGGAAAAGTGGATCCACTTGATCCACTTTAAAATGGATTAAATGAGTCTACACTACCATATAATCCATTTCCGATCCGATAATCTGGATTACATATGCCGATGTAGAAGGGGCTTCATTCCTGAAAGAGTTATAATGGGAAAAGTGGATCCCCTTGGTCCACTTTAAAATGGATTAAATGAGTCTACACTACCATATAATCCATTTCAGATTGGATATATGCCAGTGTAGAAGGGGCTTCATTCCTGAAAGTTATAATGGGGAAAGGGTGTCCCACCAGATGTTTGTCACTAATCCTTGTTTCCACTACAAGCCAATTTGGTTGTCTATATACATATACATATGCAAGAGGTACACGCACACACACAGAAAATATCTGTGTATGTTTGTATGTATATACATACATATATACACACAGACACCCATCAGTAGTATATATACACACTCATATGCTTCTCTTGCCGGCTCTGCTATCTATCAGTCGATTGACTTTATGTGTGTGTGTGTGTGTGTGTGTGTGTGTGTGTGTGTGTGTAACAACAACAACACTTTAATTATAATCTGTCTTCTCTTCCCGAAGGAATTCATACACACACACATATATATACAAACACACACACATATCAGTAGTATATATACATATATAATGATAGTAATCTATTATTATTATATATACACACAAACATATATAAACATACATATATATTACACGTACACACACATATGCCTCTCTTGCTTGCTTTTCTATCAGTCTATTGACTCTATGTGTGTGTGTATATAATAATAACAATAACAACAACAACAACAATTTAATTATGACCCTTCTCTTCCCGAAGGAATTCATACACACACACACACATATATACAAACATACACACATATCAGTAGTATATATACATAATAATAATAATAATAATCTATTATTATTATATATACACACACACAAACATATATATACACACATATATATACACACACACACACATACATACACATATGCCTCTCTTGCCTGCTCTATCAGTCTATTGACTCTATGTGTGTGTGTATATAATAACAATAACAACAACACTTTAATTATAATCCTTCTCTTCCCGAAGGAATTCATACACACACACATATATATACAAACACACACACACACATATCAGTAGTATATATAATAATAATAATAATAATAATAATAATAATAATAATAATAATAATTGATTACTATTATTATTATTATTATTATAATTATATACACACACACAAACATATATATATATACATATACATATATATTAGACGTACACACACATATGCCTCTCTTGCCTGCTCTGCTATCTATCAGTCGATTGACTCTATGTGTGTGTATATAATAACAATAATAATAATAACAACAACACTTATAACCCTTCTTTTCCTGAAGGAATTCATACACACACACACACACACATATATATATAAACACACACATATCAGTAGTATATATACAAGATGGATGGATGGCATCCTTGAAGTGACTGGACTGACCTTGAAGGAGCTGGGGGTGGTGACGGCCGACAGGGAGCTCTGGTCTATGAGGTCACGAAGAGTCGGAGACGACTGAACGAATGAACAACAACATATATATATAGCAACCCTGGGGAAATGCAAAGGAATGCTATCCCATGCAGCTAAAAGGCAACGTAAACCAAAGGCAACGTAAATCAAAGGCAACGTAAACCAAAGGCTACGTAAACCAAAGGACCAAAGTTGGCCCATGCCCGAGAGATAGATTGATTGACTGATAGATAGATAGACAGATACACATACATATACACAGTCGATAGATTGATAGCAGAGCAAGCAAGAGAGGCATATGTTTGTGTATATATATGTGTGTGTGTGTGTGTGTGTGATATATATATATATATATATATATGCATGCCACTCCTGCTTTTTTCTGTGCTATTTATCAACCTATTGACTGTGTGTATGTGTTTGTGTGTGTGTGTATATATATATATATATATATATATATATATATATATATATATACACAGACACACATATACAAATGCACGCATATGTTTATCTACCTCTCTTGCAGTGCCGGATTTAGGACAAGTGAGGCCCTGTGCGGGGTAAGGTCTGCGGCCCCTTCCTTGGGCCCCGGAGGCTGGAGGTCGGCCCGGGAGGCCTACACTGCCTGCTTTGTGGCACACTCCCATAGGCGCTCCACTCTGTCATTATGTCTGGAATTGCTCCGAAACTGTGCACTTCCCATTTTAGAATTGCACGACAGAAGCAAAATCCACACCAAAGTAAGCACAACGGTAAATCTGACATATTGAATATATACACACACATATACATATACAAACATATGCCTCTCTTGCCTGCTTTGCTATCAATCTATTGACTCTGTATATGTATGTATGTGTGTGTATCTATCTACCTATCTTTTCCCTCACAAACTAATACCCATGCCAACATAAAGGCAGACCAGATAGCACACCAACTCTTGAAGAACGGGAAACCCAACCTTGCCACCAAAGTAGGAAAGAAACCAATAGCCAGACAACAAGAGATTGAGAACCACAACCTTCATGAACCCTTTACATCTACTGAATTGGACATGGCTCTCAATAAATGTAAGAATGGCAAAGCAGCTGGCCTGGATGATCTACGGATGGAACAAATCAAGAACTTTGGCCCAAAAGCAAGGCGCTGGCTGCTGGAGCTGATGAACAACTGCACGGCATCCTGTCAGATCCCCAAAATCTGGAGGAAAGCAAGAGTCATCGCCATCTTGAAGCCAGGCAAAGACCGTAATGACCCAAAAAGCTACAGACCAATCTGCCTGTTGTGCCACCTCTACAAAGTTCTGGAGAGACTCATTTTGCATAGAATTATGGAAAATATAGACCCCCGTCTGATTCCACAGCAAGCTGGCTTCAGGAAAGGCAAAAGCTGCACATCGCAAGTGCTGAACCTGACTCAGCACATAGAAGATGGATTTGAAAGGCAGCAGATCACAGGAGCTGTCTTCATAGACTTGTCAGCGGCTTAGGATACTGTGAACCACCGCCTCCTCCTGAGAAAAATGTATAATATCACAAAGGACGACCACCTCACCCGCCTCATAGGAAACCTGCTACAAAACAGGAGCTTCTTTGTTGAGTTTCCAGGGCCAGAGAAGCAGATGGCGGAAACAGAAGAACAGCCTGCCTCAGGGGAGCGTGCTTGCTCCATCCATGT